TGGTAATCCCCTCCCCCCCCCCCCCCCCCCCAACCAATTCATATTAGTTTCAACTTGGTTTAGTAAAAACTGAAATTTTCAAACCTTGGAGTTCAAGGACGATAAGGAATGGAAACAAGAGCTTTGTCGAAAAATTACTGCTATTCACCTTTTTCGAGTAAATATAGAATGCAGTTTATTGCTTGGATGCATACCGTGCATTTTAGGTCGCTATTTATAATTTTGATACGAATCATTTTGATTGCTACTGAATTAGACGGCGAGGGTGATACGGGATACTAGACTTCAAACTCAGTAAAGACTCTTTAGAATAACGAACTTAGGAATTCCTGTGGTCTCGCAGAGATTGGAGTAGCTTTTCCTCTGTCCCCTCTTCCCGCCTACTCGGCTCCAGTCTCCGAGCGTCCCAAAGAATCCTAATCCCCGGTCTCCTAAAAACTCCTCTTTACCGAGTGTGGAAGGAAAATTGTAACTGCTCGCAGTCTATCACTAAATAAACGTAATTGATGCTTTACCAGACATCGACATCTGGAATGCTTCTGGTGCAAATGGTTACGTATCAGGTGGTATAATGTACGCCAATGGCCAGATTACCGTACCAGTGGCGGGTATCTACTTTGTGTACTGTCAGGTGTACTACACCCAACCTAACAAAGCAGGTAGACATGGGTAGGTCTCATAGTTACATTCTTTGCTTGTGTGACAAAATTAACCACGAACTTACTGACCGACCCACTGAGTTACCAACTGACCCACTGACGTACCGTTTGACTAACTGTCCAACTGATTTGCTGACTGGATGCATGAGGAAAGGTGGATGTAATAAGGATAAAATATTTTTTAAACACTTTTTGTGCTTTTTCCCCCAACAAGGATAATCGTAAATAACCGACAAGTTGCCTTGGCTGGCACATCGGGTATTCCAACAAGTGGTACCTATTACACTGGACTGTCCTTGAAACTGAACAAAGGAGACAAAATATCCTGCAGACTTGCGTATGACAGCAATCTGTGGTCAGGAATGGAGCACACGTTCCTTGGAGCATTTCTGCAATAACCTTGCAATGAAAGTCATACCGGCTCAAAGACAAAGATGAATGAAAAGAATTGCTAGGTTAAAACGAATCTAAAAGATAATTTATAATTGTTAATTAAGTCTATCCTAATCAACGTATCAATTGTTATTATAAATAATGAATGTAATCCCTAAATTAATAAATATCGAGACTGATTTTGTGATTGTTTTGTGTTTTACATGAAGGGTGGTGTGTTATGTAGCCTAACAAACAAAACATTTAACAACTGCAAGGAACCAAACTACAACTGTTACCACAATCACAAACAAATAAAGACAAAAATTCGAATAAGCAAGAAAATGATAATGATAGATATAGAAAAGCTTAGAAATTAACTTTTCAGCATCTCTGCACCACAGCACCTTTAGTACTGTGATTTTACCGGACAATAGATCCATCATAGAACCAAACTCGTCTTTACTAAGTCTGGAGGGAAAAGTGGGACTGCTCGCAGTCTAGAGTTGGACCGTCAATAACACCACGTTGTCTGTGATTGCCGAGGTAGTCAGCGAACCAAGCCAATAGTGCACCAGCTTGGTTAACAGGTTGATGGAATCAAAAGTCTTCGCAAAATCTAATGCGCCTTTTTTCTTGTTTCAAAGGCTTTATTAACTATAGGTAAAAAAGATATTAACGGAGCTCAAATAAGATGCTGCAAAAAGAAAGAAAAAACTAAGGCACTTATAGACCTTATAGTTCTTTTGAATCATATCATTCTTTCAAAAACAAATATTATATATAGAGGCTTTGCACCATCACGTGATGGCAGCCATGACAGGAGGCACAACAATAAAGTCATTCTTCCCTGGGAAACTGAATTCTTTCTCGTTTAAATTGGATAAGACTAGATTCAATCGTTCCTGCCTCCTGTCATGGCTGCCATCGTGTGATTTGCAAAGCCTCTATACAACGATTTTCGTTTTAATGGAAGCCATACGTTTCTGTTCCTATCATATTATATCACGAGCTGTCTTCCATTTCATTGACTACCTGAGTTGGAGATCGCGGAAGAAAGGGAGAGCAAACAACACAGGCAACCCACGTTGTGTAAAAACCGACAACTTCCGTTCACCACTTGAAACTCGGAAATCCTACAAAAATTCAAACACAATGATAAAACATTTTCTTTTATTCTCTTTGCTTTATTTAGTAAACAAAATCAAAAGGAGAAACATTGCCACTGACAATTTTAAGATAAAATGATATTTAATCATGATATTTTAATGAAAGCAACAGAATAAAGTCTATTTCCAAACAACACAAATATTTTACCACTTCTTTCATTTTGTGTACATCAATGCTTAGCTTTGTTGGTTAGACTGGATAAAAGTAATGAAAGCAAAAAGTAAATCTATCCTCCAGCACTATTCGTAGGTCGCACTCCTCTTTGTTGCCATTGCTATGTCCCATTAGCTCAACGAATTAAAAGAATATCTCAGATTTTACAGCACTAACCGAAAAACCGTGGGCACTTGGAAATATTCCAACAATGTTCTATTGTTCTTTTTAGCCAATCACAATTGACTTTCTAACAACAAGATAACAGAGACAAAACTAATACTTCTGATTTCTGGTTAAGAAACATCCTTGACATATTTCTATATTTCTATTAATTACTTAATTATAAACTGTTTCAGTTTTTTACTGTCCTTTGAAAGAAGAAAAAAATGGTCTGTTTATGCTTGTAGTAAATGGGACAAGATTTTAGTTCTACTGAAAAGACTGCTGCAACAGTGATAACGCATCAGTTATTCTTCATCTTATTATAACTCGTTGTGATATCGAAAGTAAGAATGGAAATAAATATTCCAGTTCCATTCAGTGACTATGAATGAAAGTTTCAAGTCTAGGTTGGAGATGCCACACTAGTTGATCATGCGAGGCAGCTCCAACCTAAACTTTATTATTCGTAGTCACTAAATGCAACTGCAAAAGACAGTATCATGTTCATGGTACAAAAACCATCTACACTCTAAACTTGGAATTTTGGATTTGCCTTCTATTTTTCCAAGTTTAGAGTGTGTCTTGTTAAAAGGAAACACAGCAAGAAATAACAATGAAATGAAATCAACCATTATCATGTAATTGTTTACAATAAAATATGGATTGGCTTCAGTACAATTATTATTTACCACTTCTCCACTCTGTACTAATGGCTCAAGGTGAAGCCACTGAGCTGAAGCTTTTAGATTTTGTTCCATCAATTGAAGTAAAATCTACCACAATATTGTGTTTTGAAGGTGTAAATTGTCTGTAAAGAATAAAATAATAATAATTTACAGTGCAATGTGTCTAGCCATGGCCCCCAACTTTTATTTTTTCCATCAATTAAAAGACTTCTTACAAAAGTGTCCAGGGGTAGCCAGAAAAGAGACCAATCTAGGTATCATCTAGGCAAATTCTTACCCATTTTTTAAAAGTTTTTGTTGCAAAGAGTACTAAATAATTTTAAATATTTACAGTCATGCTGAGGGACTTCACATGCAAGTGCACAAATTCTCCATGTCTGATTGGCTAACAAGTAAAAAAAATTAGTTGGGTGGTCACAGTTAGCCGCATCACACTTAAATGTAGAAAAGTCCTTACCAGCAATCACATGGAATAACATAAGATCAAAAGAATCATTCAACAGCCTAAAGAGACTAAAGTAAATCTCTGAAGCACATGCACAAGAGTGAATTAATGATTCTATTCACTCATCCTACTCATGAATGATTGGCAGACCCCAAAATTATAAAGAAACTTGAAAAAAAAACAATCAAATGAGCCAGATTCAGATAGAGTTCACCTAATTTTTTCTGACAACTACTCCCTCTAAAATCAAGGGCAGATTTAAGGATGGGTTTAAGGGGCTGCGGCACCCCCTTTTATTTTGGTTAGTCATAGATGTTCCTCTTATGCCTAGTTTTCCAGCCCCCCATTTCTCTTATTCCTGGATCCACCCTGTCTTCTAAAACCAAATATATTAATAATTCTTTTACCTGTATTTAATACCAGCCATGTCCAACATCCTCCTAGAAGCTACCATGGCTGGCTTGTCATGATACTTGTCTGAGACATACACAATTTCTTTCAAGCCAGCTTGAATCACAATCTTTGTGCACTCATTGCATGGGAAGAGGGCTACATACATAGAGCAACCTTTGACATCTGTTGAATTCTTATTGAGAATAGCATTCATCTCTGCATGACAGACTACAAGGAAAAAGAATAATATGAAAAATATGTTAACATACCACTTGAAGTTGGGTTATCCTCAATCAACAAGTTGTTGCTTTATTTGTTATTTCTCTCATATTATCCATTCCCTCCATTCCTTTGCCTCTTCTTAAGGAACCAAGTTAAGATTAGCAGTCGATCTAGGGGAGGGGGATGGGGAGAGGGAGGGGGAGGGGGGAGGGTTTGAGGTTTTTGGTTCACAATCCATGTAATTTTGCCAACCCCCACCCCCTCCCCCCCCATGTGCTAGTAAATGAAAGCCCTATTACTAGTACTTCAGAAATGAACAGTCCTAATTTGATATCAGCAGTTCAAGCCCCCCCCCCCYCCCCCCYMSCMAAAATCCTAACTCCAGACAGACAGACAGACAGACAGACATATTTTATTTGGCGTTTTGTACAAAGTTGCACATCAACTTAGTTCCAAATAAGKTAYGAATATATACGTATGTTTATGTATGTGCATAATATCTATATTCACATATTCCACACATACAYGTCATACGTACATATATATTCCATATATATATTCCATATATATTCCATATATATTCCATATATATTCCATATATATTCCATATATATTCCATATATATATCCATCAGCAGCAGCGGCGTGCTCAACTGAAAATACATTTGCAACACAATGCACCATTCTTTCGACCACCCGTTGCTTTATTCACCATCACTGTGACTATTATTTTGACAATGGGAAAGTTTCAGAGGGGAAAGGGGGAAAGGCTGGTTAAAACACTCCGGTTTTAAACCCCTTCCCTTCTAATGTTAAGTACAGACAAAGTCATTTATTTCATACCATAAGGATATTTGGTGTCCAATTCATTTTCAGCTTCTCTGTCCCAAGGCAATTCATCATCGCAGCACCCGTTGGGCATTCCATTATAACCAATCCCAACTATCTTCTTCTCTGAGTTAACTATACAAGCGCCTACTTGGGAAGAAGGGTCCTTGCTTCGCTGTGCTGACAAGAACGCTACAGCCATGAAATAATCGTCCCATGGAAGGTAATCAGTCCTTTTTGAAACCCTACTCTTCTTTGGCAATTTCTCCTTTACTTTTGAATGATCATTTGGAGAGGAGTCTTCTCCAAAAGGAAGGCCATTTGCTGATATTTTTCGTTTCATGGCAGACTTTCTCCATCCAGTCGCCATTTTATTGTCGAAGTAACCAACTTTCCCGCGTAAACTTATGACGTAGGAATTTCAATAAGATCGGCAAAGAAATAAACAGAATTAATTTATGATTGACGATGTCTCAAAGAAAATTCTCCTATCTTCTGCATTCACCTATTATTATTCTCCAACGAATAAAAACATCATTCTGTCAAATAAACTCAACTCTCCATCATTCGAATATTCGAGCATTTTAATAAAAATATTGAATAATCTAACAAACATTTCTATTGGTTTATATATTTAGTCATTGTTTCTAAACCAATAGGAACGTTTGTTATTTGGACCACCGTACAGCGGTTGCTTGCCTCGTTGTGACGTAGGGTGTGAAGAATTATGGTGTTCTGAGGCCAGCAACCAAAAGCTGTATTAGCATGTACATAATTTTCGCAGTTTTAAGAAACTTTGTTTTGGATCGATTTGGGGTAAAACCCCCACTGGTTATTTCCTTAATTCGTCGTCATGGACTCCTTGAGTTTAAAGGCTGTTTTGGTAGTATTTGAAGTATGATGGAGACGTTGTTGTCAAGAGAGAACATCAATGACAAGGGTACATTCAATGTCCATCTTACCGGAGGTTCGCCTTGGGGGTTTACTCTCCATGGAGGACGAGAATTCAATTCAAGGCTCTGTATCTCAAAGGTTTGTGCTCCATTTTATCCTCCAGTACCAAGACTACGACATACGTTTGTTAGGATATCCACTTTCCTAAGAATTCTGTGCAATCCTAAGCTTCGAAAAGTTTAGCTATGCGTGTATTCAGGTTCAATCGTTTTGGCCCGGCTAGTAACAGCGGTGTTTTAACTCGTCTGTAAATTAAAATAGTTGATATTTCTGCTGTCCGTTAAGTCTCGCCTTGAATTAAATCGAGGGCGGAGTGGTAACCCCTATATAACACTATTCAAGATTTTCACGATATTTTTGTTGACATTGAAATAAGAAGCAAGGAAATAAAGCAACTAGCAGCCACCTAAGGTGAATAATTTTGTCGGCGAAAAGCATTTTTCTCACCAAACCACTTCCGATACTTCTTACCAGTCCCTGGATTTTTCGACTTGGAAATCTCAAATTTATCTCGGATTTAATAGCAGAAAGATCCCGGTGTTAATTTTCTGATTATTTTTGGCGAAATACATTCATCTTGAATGTCTGGATTTTGTCACTCGTTCGGTGTTCACTAAAGGTTTTCTTTCGTCGCTTACCAAAACAAAACGAAATTTGAGCCTTGCACTCGATTCTCTTGGGTCTCATTCGGAGCAACCTTCTCGAATAAGGAAACGACATAAACATCGAATCATTTGCTAGAGTCTTCTATTGACCTCCATTGGCGTTGGTTTGTAGTCAGTATATCAAGACGAAAGGGATTATCTCTAGGTAAAACAACATTGCTGTCTCATATTTACATCGTTTATTTACAGACTTGAGCGCACTCTATGATAACTCTCCAGATATCGAGAAAATACTTCAACTTTAAAGTCATTTTACTGCTTCTCGAGAACTTCATCTCGATTTGTTTGGGAAGGTTTTCATTGACTTGTTTCAGTCAAGCTTTTCGCATGGTTGCTTTAATTAGTGTTTAAACGTGGTTTTAGAAATGTACTTTGCATGGGACGTATTTTAAGTTTATACACCAGTTATCCGCCAGGTATGTATGGAATGTGATCCATTTCAGCACTAATAAATAGGCTTTTACCATTCGATCACGAGAGAAAGCCACTAAAATGCAAACATCTCGATAGCCTTGCCTCTTTTGCCAACCATGTAACCCCTTTCGAATTCAAATTTGAAATAACAAATTTAGTGAAGCGTACATCATATTGTGAGGTAATAGTTATTTTTCCTGTATGTGGATTCAAGCCAATGTAATTCAGCTTGGAAGTGATATTCTTTAAAACCAGTGATTTTAATTACCTAGTAAATGAAAAAAGGGCAAAATGCTTATTGATGATAGCGTTGGATGTCTCATAGTTGGGATAATTTTCTATGTAAATCATTCAATTGCTAAAGTAGAACTGTCCTCAATGTTTGGACCTATATCATCTTGTGGTCTAAAAGGTTAGAGATAACATTCTATACCTTTCATGTGAAAGCGACCCTCAACATGCCATTCCCAACCTTTCAAAATCAAACAAGATTAATGATGAAACCTCAAAACAAAAAAATCCAAATATGTATAACTAATGCGACTGCTTATTTGAGTTCTCCCTATAATTTGATTATAAAGTGATATAATTTAACCAGAAAATGGTAAAACAAATACATAAACTTTTTTTATATCTATGGTTTATAATATCCACAAATTGATAAGCTAATATTCTATATTATACAATATAAGCTTAAAATTTACAGAAGAAAGCTACTGTAGACTGTATGTGAAACAAAGGTTTTTTTTAACAAACAGACTTTTTTTTGCTTGGCTTTTGTTCATAATTTTTGAAAAAGAGTTTTACCAGGTGTCATGACAAAATAAATAAATAAATGACCATTTCTTGTGCAAATGTAGCATGCCAAGAAGAGAAATGACTTTTTCATTCTAGGAATGCAAAATGTCAGTCTTGAAGTGAATGGTATTTATATCACATTTCATATGTCATATTTATAACCAATTTCAAAATTGCTCATCCGATGATGTGACAAGTTATTCTATAAACTTTTATTTTGCATTTGTTATTGAATTTTTATTTTTTGTTTCAAAAGATTAAGATGGAGAAAACAATACTAAATAGCTCTAGAAAAATATTGGATATTTTTCTTCTATGATATCATTAATTTAAGAAAATATTTTAGGTATGTGGGAATATGCATTCTTGTATTTCTCTGATTATCAGATTATAATCAGTCTATGGCTTACTATCTTGAATATCTTGATAACCAATGTTGATATTAACATGTCATTTGTGTCACTGGTTACCAGGCACTAAATTACCATGGTAACAAGTAAGAATTCAAAACATTAAATTACCTTTCATTCGAATCATACTAGTTTTTCTTATTCTTTGTTGATTATTAATTAGCTCATACCTGTTAATGATAAATACGGTATTAGCTATCTTAATCTTGAGGGTTTTTCATGATTTTTTGAGACTACATATGAAAATACCTGCCAAATTGTCATTTATTCCTTTGCCAAAGTTTAAAAGAGCTGTATATATATTTTTTTAACCAGATAACTCCAGGAGGAAAAGCAGACAAGAGTAAAGGACTGCAAGTTGGAGATGAAGTGGTTGCTATTAATAACATGGAATGTTCTGCCAGGGCAGAGGCTATAGAACAAGTCAGGTGTTCAAGGCAGAGCCTTAATCTAACAATAAAAAGGTATGTCCTATTCTGACTTCAGTTCTTGATGTTTTTCACATTCCTAAGTTATTTCTTAGATATTTGTGTATGCATCTGCAACATTATAGCAAATCTTAAAATGTTTTTGTAGACTATTATTTCAATGGCTTTCTAGTATAAGATGGTGAATTCTCTTTCCAGTGTAAATTAAGACTGAGGTAATGTTTTTTTTTGAGAAAGAAAATTTGAATATTTATTTCTATGAAAACAATACTATTTGAAATCCTGGTACAATATTTTATAAGCAAATGCTGGATGCTCCATATTTTAAAGTGTTTCAGGTGTTTTTTAAATGAAATCTCAATCTCAGAGTGGGACAAGTGCTTCCTAGCTATTGTACAAAATAAAAAAACGAGAAAAATTTATCATATAACTGTTTATTATATCATTTTCTTTATAAGACTCTTGCAATCAATGGTGGTTTTTGAATTATAGACTAAAGCTTTCTGAACTGGTTAAAAAATAATTGTACACCTTTTTTTCCAGGGAGAATTCAAAACAAAATGGTTTCCAAGGAAGGACAAATAACAATCATCCTCTACCAAACCTATACAAAACAGCATTAGAAGTTGCTGTAGAGACAAATGATTTTTATAAAACATATTCTGTAGATCCATATATGTATAAAAGGATAGCACTACATTCTAAAGATGGTGCTAGCTGGACGACACATGTTGATACTGAATTAAGTGCCTCTAATGAGGATCTGCTTGAAAGCTATAGAAACCAAGGGAGTATAGTGGGTAGTGATGAGGCACTGGACAGGAACAGGGGTGCAAAGTCTAGTGTTACAAATGGCAGAATAAGCCCTCAGGATAAAGAAAACCAAAACAGGTAAATTCATCAATTCTCTTGATTTTCTTTGCTTTTACTCCAAGAATATCCTGCCAGCAGAGGCCCTTTTCTACCCTGCTAGGATACAAGAGGAAAAGGACCTCTGCATTGGCTATTGGATTAAAAAAACAGTTTACACATACATCATTTTGAGCATAACAAAAGTGTACTTTGGCTGGTGATGACCAGCTGGCACTTAACAACAAACAACATGGCATATACATATGTCATGCTGGGCATGCCCAACATGATAATTTGCAGGTGCCTGCAGAGGTTCTTTCCTCTTGCTTCCTGCTTGCAGGGTACCCCAAGAAAAGAACTAACATTGCAAGTACATTTGCAAAGTTTTTTTTACAATAAATGGTGTTTTACTACCAAAATCATTCAAGTGTTATCAACTCCAATAGATCAATAGGCCATGCTTTGAATCTCGGTTTACTCATGGGCATTTGGAGAGCTCCCAATGGTCACGTGGAGGTCATGTGTCATTAAAACACCACAGAAAACTAATGTCAAGTGACCATTTGGTGCTCTCCAGATTTCGTGTTTTTGGTAGTATAAAATTTCCTAGTTATTCACTTGTTCTATTCGACACACCTATGCATGTCCAATTGGTATATAATATGACACTAGTTATGAATAATTCTCATGATACAGAAGTATAGTATCTACCTCCTTACCTTAATAATCCTTACGTTGCAGGTGCCTTTGCCACAAGGTTATGATCTGCACTTTATATTGCATATTTCTGACATTTCCATAAAATGATTCTATAGACTTGCATGATATGTTTTAAAACCTTACTGCAAATCATTTTGCTTAGGTTGCAAGTGCTTTTAGAACAAATTCATGATCTGCAGTTAATTCTTATTGCATATTTCTGACATTTCCATAACATGATTCTATAGACTTGCATGAAATTAATTGTCTAAACCTTACTGCTAAATGTTTCGTTTTGACATGCATGTACAGTACATACAGAACCCTGCATGGATAATTTAAACATAAAAATTCAACATATAACTTCATTTGATATTGCGATTGTATTGCTTATACTTAATCTGCTCATAGCAGTCACTCAATATAAAATATTATATACTCATATTATTATTTTGTACCATAAACTAGCTATAATATTTTTAAAACTTAAAAACACTTGCTTTTTCACGTTATATTTTCATGTTGGTTCCAAATTTCATTTTGACCGTAATTTATTTTATTTTGCAGTTGACAGTTGCACTGTAAAACATCTATGATTAAACTATTCAAATGCAAGCCCTTATGATACGACTAAACCTTTTGTTTTATACTAGAAAGGTTTTACTGTTGAACATTAAATATAATTATTTCATGATAAATTGTAATAGGACCAATTTTCTGTATTCAGCATTCCACCTATAAACAGACAAGTGACAAACTCATTGCACTCAAGGGCAAAGTCTTGGAGTGAACATCGGTAAACATGTTTTATTCTTAATTATTTCTTTAACATTGAATGATGCATCTGTGACTACAGTGGAGTTCTTATCATGAACCAAGGACCATGATGAAATTTTTAAGATAACATAGGGCTTAAAATAACGACTAATCAGCTGCCAGTCATGATCGCAGGCCAAATTAGTTTAAGCTTAGTCATACCTTATTTCTGGCTAAACATTACTGGTCAAAATGATCAGTAAGGCAGAGATTTGACTGCAAAAGTCCCAGTTTTGGCGGGTCATTGTCGGATGTCTGGCCATTATTTTAAGTTCTTTAAGGGTTCAAGATATCCAGGCTACAATTAATCGTAGCGACTTAAGTCCACAGGACATAGCCTTAAAAGTTTGAGAAAACAGATTGAACTTTGAGATGTCCATGGTTCAAGGGACTCATCTTAGATATGTTGCTAAATATGTTACTGAATAACAATAAAATAGTAAAAGAATTTTAATTTAAAAGATAAATCTTAAAACATTTAATAAAAAAATTACTTTTAAAATACAGTCATTAGACCTTTTCATTTTAAGTTTAATGTGCTCCATAATAATATTTTTGTCAAACAATTGATTATTGTGGTGATAAGAAATGAAAATTGCATATTGGTGTGTAATGAAAAATTCTCATTGTTTTAAAGACATTAATCATTATTTTATCCAATCTTTTTATTATTAGTGGACAAAGCTTACCAGAGAATCTATTTCATAAACGTACATATACATCACCTGACCATATTCAGAAGGTCAAAATAAGAAGTGCCAATATATCATCATCAAGTTCAACATTCAGTAGTCCAAAGGATGATGGGTAAGACCTCTATTTTTTGAGAGAGAGCAACTAACCTTTTCCACTTATTGTTCTCTTATCTTTCCATTCCACTCCTTTTTTATTCCTTTTCTTTCTTTTTCCTTTCCTTTCTTTCCTTTTATATTTTATTTTCTTTCTTTTTCTGCCCTTCCTTCCTTCCTTCCTTCCTTCCTTCCTTCCTTCCTTCCTTTCTATTTTTTCTTTCTTTCATTTTCTTCTCCTTTTCTCATTCCAGCTCTTTTATCTAAAGTTATTTCTCCTTTTTCCTTGCATTTTATTGTTTCATTTTCTTCACCTCCCTTTCTATCAATTCTCTCCTGTATCAGTTTATTATTTATTTTCTTTGCTCTTGATTTACTTACATTAACAGCAGACAGCAAAGCAGAATCTCTCCAGCTAAGCACAGTCCAAGACGACAACGTTTAATAGAGCCAGAAGTACACAACGCTGGTGATGACTGGGTGGATCGTTGGCTAAGAAATGATAAGCAGAACATAACTCTCGAGGAAAATGTCTCGGTAAAAAATGTGCGCTCAAAGTTTGAGGAAGGCAATGAGCATGTCGAAGGAGATAAACACATTGATGTGCCTAATATGCCGTAAGTACATACATATTGTATACCCTCTGTATCTCTGTAGTCTAGTGTTTTTGCACATGGAAAAAAAATGAATTTAAAAGGGTCAATGCTGATGTGTAAATGCAGTATGTTTATATCATTCACAAGATTTTGTGTATTAATGTTTTTTTGGCTTCTTAGGCCAGGTTTTCACTAAAATGTAATCACGCTGTGTGTCACTAGTCAGTGAAAGCCTGGCTTAAGCATTAAGCGTTAGATTCCAACAAACTAAGAGTCAAACCAGTAACCATATGGCATGGAAGCCATACGATTAGCTTCAGATCAAGTGGGGAAGTGATGAAGAGACCAAAGAGAGCAATGCTAATATAATAGTAATTGTGTGGTAACTGCTGGAATAATCTCTACTACTGCATCAACATCAGCGATATTATCACCATCAGCGATATTATCACCATCAGTTATATATCAAGCACTGCTTTTGTAATCACTCCAGTGTTCATTATTATGCATGATTCCCATTATGTTGTCCAACATCATCATATTGCATTTTGTTGATCCTAAAACTACTTTCCAGGGCGCACAACAAATCTAATTTTTCAAGAAGTAAGAGCTTCAGTGGACGTCCTTCTTATGGTGTAGTATTTGGTACCACTGCTGTAAAGTCCAAGGACCATTCCCAAATCACTGCGTTCCAAGCTCCTCTTCCTCCTGCCAGATACAGCTCCTCAGATTTACTCAAAGAGAAGGCACGTCCAGGTCTTGCAGCAGCTGACAGCTGGCAGTCATCTACTATTTCTCTACCAGTTGACATGGAATCTTCCTCACGGTTAGTAACGACCATCCAAGAAGAGAAACAGCCGTTAGAAGTACGACTCTCACGGAAGTCTTTAGGACCTATATCAATGGTTAGCAGTACGTCTAGTTTGGATACTGTTGGTAGCTTTGATCGACGTCAGGGTCCTGCCCCACCTCCACGGCGCAGTGCGTCGAAGATACTTAGTTCCTTTCGCTCCACGAGAGGGAAAAGAATGCATCCTCATACAGTAAGTAAAAGGTTGTGCTTTTTTTTCACTGAAAACTTCCTCATGTCGCTCGTTTTGCTTAAATAAAGTGAAAACTTTATTTGCTGGACTAAAAACTGAAGTCTTGCAAAACTCATTCGAAATGATAGATATCTTTAGGACATACTATAAACAAGGATTTTTCAAAACAATTTAGTTCGATTGATTAGTAGCATTACATTTTGTTAATTTAAATTTCCGAGATTCAGCCTGGCTTTTCATTTTCTATGGTGCCGAAAGCTAAATTGGGAGCCAATACATCTTTCATTACCAGACATAGGACATTTTTTACGAGTCTAGGTTAATGGCACATGCCGGCGAACGGTGCGCAAAATGTTTTGTTCAAGGGCCTGAAAATACAGTATAGCTTGTGATGAGTCTTCTCATTGACTTTTAAATACACCTATTAATTCCAGGCCAGCTCTGGTACAACACGAGAAGCGTTCAAAAGTAGCGTTCGGAATGAAATTCCAAACCACATGTCATCAAAATCGTGGCCTATTGATCACCATGGCAACGAGCTTCAAACCTTACCAAGTAAGGATGCAAATAGACAATCCTGGCATTCCCAGGAACCAGCCGACAAACACGGTCAATGGGGAAATTCTCCAGTCGAACAGCCCTCCAAAACCGGTCAAACTGGTTCGAAGTTTAATTCGTCTGTTGTCGTAACATCTATCAGGACGTCCACATCGTCTTCAACCTCAGAGGATACTTTCTCCAAACCTAAAATTCATCGGAGCACTTTCCTTGAGCTCCAACCGCCGGTGGCCACGTTCGAAGGTAAGTTTGAAGTTCTTTAACGTTCTTTAAACTTTGTGTTATGTATGCTTTTTTTTCAGACTTAAGGTGAACCCTTTTATTAGTTAGGGATAAAGGCCAACCCGAGCAGACATGTCTCGGAATTCAAATTTACCAAAATTAGACTAAACATTCCTGCATCAAAGGTCGCTGTCACGGTTTAAATTCAATCCGACGTTTTCATCACAAAATTCCTGTTTACAGTAAATGTCGACATTGCGGTCTGCAAAATAACTTCTCAAATATATTATGTTAGGGTGCATACCATAAATTCGTGACTTTGTAAGAAATTGCACAAATTAGTAAGTTCAGTAGACCTTAGACCTACAAAACTTTGCAGCGATTTGTACAATTTCTTTATTTTCACGGATATATGGTATACACTCAAATTGTCTTGCACTATTTCAGTTTTTAATAAACAAGGTCATATTAATGGCCTGCACCCTAACTTTTCGATTGGTTTATAGGGTAGTTTAAACACCCCTCTCTCCCTCGGTAGCTGGTATAGGAGTGTTTGAGACATAATTTTTGTATTTTTTCTTTGATCAATCAACGACTAACAAATTTTTTTATAATGGTTTGCTGTATAAAACTATTAAATATAACTTTTAGATTAACATTTATTCACCACTATGTAGTTTTTAAAATAAGATAAAGAAATAAATGGATTTTATTTAGAGAGGGTGACACGGGACAGGCACTAAAACCTGTGGCCCCCTGTTTTTAACTTCTCTGAATGAGACGGGACCCTTATTTTACGTGATTATCCGAATCATGGCGGATATATTCAGAGCAAGGGCAGCACCTTCCACTCAGATATTTTAGTGCAGGTCGATGCTTGAAAACTCAGCCTCCCGCACAATATTCCGGTGTGCGATCAACTGAGCCAAGTGGGATGTGGTGTTATTATAAAGTTTTTATAAATTTTATCCTTCTTCTTTTTTTTTTTCTTTTTTTTTATACAGCCGTGAGACCGCAAAGCGCACGAGCGGGAGTTCGGCCTGTACAAGAAAAACAACCCTCAACTCAACTAACTCAAGAAAAACCCTCAACTCAACCACATCAAGTAAAACCCTGGAGTCTTCAGGAAGAAGCACAATCCCTATCGAACCGTATTGAAGACACACAGATTTTACAGAGGCTGATGAAAGACAACGAAGCAAACAGTGAACCCACCTCAGTTAAAACTAGAATTCAAACCTTCGAAAAAAGTTCATCGCATCCGAATCTACTCGAGGAGCCTGAAGTGTCTCAGCTGAGGCCGCGATCAAACCATCCAAAACAGCGTTCATGGGATAATACTTACAGCCATTCTGATCGAAAGTAAGTCTTTTACAACTAATACCATAGCATAGCATAGCATAGCATAGCATGGTTTCTTATTCTATCACAAATTTCCACTACATTCCACTTTCCTTTCCTTTGTTGTTTTTTTCCCTCTTCCATTCCCTTCCCTCCCATTCCCTTCCCTCCCCTTCCCATCTCTCCCATTCCCTTTCCCTTTATCTTCAGGGAAGTACGGGGGGCATAGCTATAGCGGTGAGAGCGCTCATCACTCGTCAAAGCGACCTGGGTTCGATTCGACCCGTGTTGAGTAGCCTTGCTTGATGGTTCTCTCCTGTACTTTGTGGGGTTTTTCTCCGGGTTTTCCGGTTTTTCATCCCGGCCCTTCTCAAAAATCAACTTCTAAATATAAATGTTTTAAAAAAATATTGTAAAAAAAAAAAAAAATATTGCAATTGGGATCCAGTGCAAGAAGAGCCACTCCGTGGAAACTTCTTTTAAAAATGCTATTTATTATTTGTTTATTTATTATTTCTTAATATTAATATTTCTAGTTGAAAATAGCGGGATGGATACGAGGGACACCCCCTCCGCCCCCTTTCGTTTCAATCAGTAAGGCATCGTGAACGTTAATTTTTTGAGCCGACTCATTTGTTGATGAGTTCGATCGTTGCCTTCTTTTCGGAAACAAACTCAGAATAAGACAAAAAATATGCACTGTGGAATTTACAATGCCTTCATTTTCTTTTTGAAAGCTACGGTTCTGATTCCCTGAGTGTCTTATCCGTTGTTAATAATTTCGCCTAATGAAGAGAGAAGAGGAGAGACTCTGCTCTGACCCTCAGCTCGCACGAAACCCTTCTGTTGCCCTGATACTTAATCCCCACTAAACTGATTGCTTGTTGATTGATGCCCCAAATTTGATTAACACTGACAAATATTTAACCTTGGACACTCGAGTCTCATCTCTCGTTGAAACATCCCAAGTATTTTGCCTTTAGTACTTGTAGGGGTAAAAGGAAGCCATTTATCTGTCAATCGTTGCATAATTACCATGTCTGAGACGACGGGCTTTTGAGATTCTGTTCGTTTGCAAACGTGTATTGCGTCGAATGGCGAATTAGTGCGTGTTCTTGGATCTGAGTCGAATATAAGGTGATTCTTGAACTGTTTACTTTGGATCGCACTATGGGGTAGCTCTGCTTCAATGTTATATTACTCATTACTAGTTACAAAAAAACGGAATATACGAGACATTTTTTTCAGTTTTATGCCAGATTGCATTTTTTTATTGAGCTTTGGTAACATTCAATGATTTTGTCGTGGGTCAGATCTGGTCTGTAATTGTATCTTCTTTAGTTATTTTGGCAATCACAACATTTTAACTTGTTCTTTCTATTTGTAAACGAACTGCTTTTTTTCTTCATGTACTCTACTTTAGTATAAGCTATTTTTTCCGAGTTATTTTTAAAGTTTTGGAGTCAAAGGTCTAATGAATTTAATATCTATTTCTAGGTCGCCGAAGGACACAAAAGCTGAAGCCTCGGCGCCCGAACGCATGGCCGCATCGCCGGAAAAACACCATCATGCTTCACCCGAAGTTGTAGCGGCATCAAAACATAGGGAGCAGGTTTCTACCGTAAAATCGAACGAGACGGAGGCAGGGTTTGTGCCGATAAAGGTTACTTCAATGGTCAAGGAATTAGAGAAATCGGAATCTCCGATGAAGCTCTCGGCTCGCATAAGTTGCAATATCAAAGATGAGACCATTCCGAAGAGTTCAAGCGCATCTATAGCTAAGGATGAAGGCAGCCCAATCTTGGAAGAAATCACTCGAACCCAATCAACAAGTTTACAGGAAAAAGAGGTTCTTATGGAGGAAATGTTTAAGAGATTAGAGGATAATAAGGAATCGAATATTTCATCAAAGAAATTGGACGAATCAAACAATAATTTTGTCATTCATCAACGAAGAAGTCACAAGACACCGGTTTATTCAGTGGGGGATGATGACGTTTTCTTGGGTTTAACTGACGATGATTTGCTTCCTCCCCCACCCCCACCGTTAGATTTTGAAACGTCACATGACGATCTACCTCTCCCTACTCCCCCTAGGGAGATGTTAGAAAGTCCATTGAGAGCAGAGATTGTTTCTAAGGACAGAGAGCGAAAATTTATTGAAGTCAAGGCGGTTGAACATACGATTCAAAAATTAGAAACCCCTCGTTGGGGAGATATCCCATCGGAAAAGAAGAAATTATCCTATTCGGAGGAAAAGGCTGACGAAGAGAAGACTGTTACTAAGAAGGCTATTGCTGAAAAAAGTCCTCAACGAAAAGAGAAATCGAAGGAAGACGAACCTTATAAGTATGGAATCGAAAAACCATTCAGATACGAGGGGGATATGGAAGTTTTAAAAGAGAAAAATACCAGGAATTATGAACTACGTTATGAGAATGACAGAGAAAGTCCAGAAGACATCGATTTCATTAAAACAGAAAGCAAACCTGATGAGGATTCAAATTTGTACGAAAACGAATACGGATCCCTGGAAAAAAGCACTGATATTTCATTCGAGACTTCCAGGTCAGAGCATGGCGGTACCACTAAATCCCCACCCCCTCCTCCCCTCGTGATTACATCTACCCCCACCTCCAATACCCAGGAGGCTGATGACGGTAGCAGTCCTGATAATGACATGGCTGGCAATACCAGTCCATTCTCTGGATCTAGTTTATCGACACCATCAAGCAGCAGACCAGGAAGTATGGTCAGCCCAAAGCTGGAAGCTCTGGATAAGGAAAAGGTATGTGGATCCTAAAAGAAGCTGTTTAGTGATCCTGACAAAGAAAGTCCTGGAAGACTATGAGCATTTTTTTAACCGGTAGTATGGTAATAATACGAGAATGATATGGGGGCAGAAAGAAAAAAGAAAAAGAAGAGGAGAGGAAAAAGAAAAGTAGAAAAAAAGCTTAGGAGTCATTAAAAAATCCCCAATTTTTATTTCATTATAATTATTACATTATATAGAGGATATTACATGGGCGCGCGGAGATACGAAATTTATCTTCGAGTGTTGAAAAGATCTCTTACGAGTGAGCGCAGCTTAAATACACATGGTAACGATATTTTCACGTGTGAAAATAACATGTGAAAATATCAGTTTTTCGAAAAGGAGAAATATACGTATTTTATGGATAATTATATGATAAATAGCTATATCAGTATGTAACTGTATTTATGTTTTTTTTAATTAAGGGGCAGTTAATTGAAAGTATGAGAAAGAAGATCGAAGACCTTAAAACTCAGATGAATGAGATAAGCGACGAGATAGAAGAAAATGAAAAGTTAGGAGAGAAAGTAGCTACACAACTCGAAGGCAAGACCACACCGTCAGAATTATCAAAATACCAACGCTTTACCGGAGAACTTAACAAGATCGTACTATTATTACTGTCACTGACTCAAAGAATGCACCGATATGAAAATACTTTACAAGAACTGGACATGTCAGAGGAAGCAGACAGACAACAAAGGGTGAGGAATCTTTTCTTTTTACCACTCTAGCTGATCTAATAATAATAATAATAATAATAATAATAGTAATAATAATAATAATAATAATAACTTTATTTAATGAGGGTGGCACTAAATAGTGTACTACACTAATAAACTTGTGGCCCTCAATATAAAACTACTAATATTTACAAATTTAAAAATATAAAATATATGTAATAACAACTATCAACACGAACTTATTAGAAAAATTGACTATAGTATAATAAAACATTACATCAAGATTAAAATGAACTATATATAAATTTAAATGCTGTGAAGCTCAGCGACACCTACCCTGCGAGCAGAGGTATTTTTCCTGACCCTCCGTGGAGCTGGCTGTCGGGGAGAAAACAGCCACGGAGGGTCAGAAAAAAAACCTCTGCTCGCAGGGTAAGCGACACCACGCTCACGCGGACGACGCAGCGACGCAGTTGACCGTAAAATAATATACTTCAGCAACGTCGAAACGCCGCCCAATGAACACGACGCCGTCAAACTTCACAGCCAAATTATCTACGATAACTGTTTAAACAGGAATCTATCTATATTATAAATGTTAAAGGGTAAAATCGAAATGGAATAAAATGAAAAGAAAATTACTAATATAAAAATCATTTACTACAAAATCTTATGAAAAAATAAATAAATAAATAAAAATATTGACGAAAAAATAAATATTGACTGAAATATTGATGCAGAAATGATCTCAAAAAGAAACTTTGAGCCGTCGTTTGTAAGGGCGAGCCTTAAGAAATTGGGTCAATGAATCAAAATCCTGTTTCCTTAGCTTACAACGCAGACGTTTGGTCATACTTAGGGCCGTCACGTCGTAACGCAGCGTTTTGACAGAAAACTACAAGCCTAAGGATTTCTGCCTAGGAGGCTACTTTTTTCCCATTTATTTACTGATCAATTTTTTCTTTTTATTACATTTTAAAGGATATTTTACTGGATAAAATCGAACATGTGAAAGCTCAATATCAGGAAGCTTGCAAAATAAAGGAAGTTAACGACAAACGAGGAGAAGTAGTTTCCAAATTCTTAGAAAATTATTTGAATGAAGACGAATTCGCTGACTTCCAGTACTACATCGATATGAAGACCCAACTTGCACTGATGCATGCTGAAATAAAAGACAAAGTGAAGATGGGCGAAGAACGGTTAAATGCACTGACTACCACGTCCATTGACTGGAATACGCTTAGTCTGTGTAACTATTGACTCTGTGAAGTATGTTGCAGGATGACGCATGAAAATCCAGGAAGAGATTAGAAATAACTTTGGCTTAAGACAATTTTCCTAGTGGGAGCTGGAATTCCAGTAGACGTGTGAAATTCCGGGACTAGAATAGAATTTAGAGGACTCCCTACTAAGAAGACAATGACCAGACATGATGAACAGCCACAATTGGACCAAGGGACCATGAAATGACTTCATGTTCTCATAATTGGACTAATTAACACGTGACTAGTTGATGTGACCGGTCAATAGCATAGGCCAAAGATAGACTGCTAGCAGAGGTTGTATTTCTCAGTGCTTTCAGTTTGGGGTGAGCGGCAGGCTGGTCGAGGAGACCAGAAAAGAGGGCATAAAAAGACCTCTGTAATTGGGGTAGCCTAAGAGGCGTTTGGCAAGACAAGTGGCGATAGACCACGTTCGTAATCAAATCCTCTCAATTAAGTCTGAATTTGAAAATATTGAACAAGGCCTATTTTGTCTGTACGATGTCTATTGACTGGTCCTTTTTAGCCCAGTGAATCCAAACTATTAGCCCCTCCATTCTGACCTTCCTCACTTATATATAAAAATACCTAGCATACAGGATTTATTGGATTTTTGTCCTAGTCTCGTCTGGTTCTCTTGAGATTCAGCGTAGATAACAAAAGTTTTTATTTCAAAAAAATTATCATTTTTAGTAGTGTGAATATTATTTTTATTAATACAGATTGAAAACCTGACAATTAGAACTTTAGAGAGGAGTGAAGTTTTCTTCATTTTTATATGAAAACTCCACCACTTCGCTAGATTTTTATACTAGTTATCTGACAAGAAGTTACCCGCTAGTAGTAAAAAACTGAGTAACAATAATTGTCGCGGGAAATATTATTGCGTTTAAATTATCATCTTTATTATTTAAATAAGAAATTTTGGCTTTATCTATACTTTCTTGGCCTATAAGGTTCTGCCGAGGACAAGCTTAGATATTGGGTATATCATTTATTCGATTTTTCTTAGAAAAGTAGAGGTTTTAAAAACTAGAAATTTAGCAAGCCTTTCTAAGATTATGTTCTTGAAGTTTTCTTTAGTAAGTAAGGTCGTGATCAGTGACAATTTGAAATAGAGTTTTTCATCGTGGGCATAATGTTTTCCCATTTCAGACCACGTGTCATTACCTTGAGTATTACTTCTTTGTTTAACGTTTAAGTATGAAAAGACACATGAAATAATGTGGACACATCTCCAAAAAGAATATTTTTCTCAAGGGAATGACACCTGGTCTGAAATGTGAAAACATTACGCCCGAGGTCTATTAAATGCGGTGAATTGCAAAACTCTTAGTCTAAATAAAAAAGACATTCTCCAAACTAATCGAATGGCAAGAAATACGATGACGATGCCATGGACAACAATTACGTCAAATCCTGCTCCTGCAATATCTGTTCTATATAAAACAACAATGATATAAAATTCTTATTTTTTTAAATTATATGGTGAATTGTTATATTTCTTAAAGTATATTTAGAAATGTATATTTTGAGCATCCATTTTAAAATAGATCATTGTATAATCGTTTTCTTAAAATTAAATGGTGAAGACACGAAAGTCTGAAGGGCAAAGTTTTTTTAAAAATATTTTTTCTTTTACACCTAACTGCAAGAATATGTCATAAAATAACAGAGAAAAAAAATATTTTCAAAGCAGAATTGGTGTAGTTATTTTACTGTTTTGAATGTATAGAATGATATTTTTTGATATTACCTTGTTGGTATACATCTAATTGAAAAAACGTCGGGTTCGAGAAGGTTATATCATCGAAGTTAAGACTGAAAAGGATTTTGGGTACTCCGAAATGTGTATTATATTTGCATATAGACATGTAAAAATGCACAGTAGAGCAAAGTCGGTCGACCTAGATTAACATGCCAAAGCCATTCTCCGAAGATTTACGCTGGAGAGCTGTTTGGCTGCGGTATTTTGTCTTACCATGCTCCCCTTCGGTCTTAGCTTTGATGATATAACCTTTTTTTGAACCCGACAACGTTTTTTCAATTAGGTGTATACTATAAAAGTTAAGTTTATCAATCTTTGATATGAAACAAATATTCCTAATTAATTTCTATTTTCTATTTTTATATGACAACGTACTTGCAATTAGGTATTTCTGCTTTTTACATGAGAAATAATATATATATATTGATGAAATAGGCTTTCGTTAGAACATGAACCCAGGGCTTGAAGTTATTCTAGTGCGACGTCTTATCAGGCGCATAGTCAAGGTGACAATCTGTAAGGTCGTGGGTTAACTGCATCGTTGTTGTATGGGTGTGGCCACAACACCGTTTTGCAATGTCGCACTAGGGAGGTGTGAGAAAAAAGGAGACGCAGCTTATATGCTCATGATGAAAAACAATTTTTTTTTCGGTCTTGCGATAATTAGTTTTGACCCCTTTTGCTAGTTTTGAGCCCTTACAGTCTGCTCAATTTCCTTGCAATTATATCTCGCACCTCGCTGATCGAGCGCACGCAGAGTCGCATTGCAAAACCTTTTTCAAACCTTTTTCCAAGACATGATACCGCCCGAAACAACCCTTGGGCTGATCAAAGTCAGGACATAGATAATTGCTGGGTTGCCTGTGGCAGCCCAGTCGTAAAATGCCTTTGTTTGTTTTTTTGTTTTTGTTTTTGTTTTTTGTCTTTTTGTGTGTGTGGGTGTGCCTTCTCCATCTCGCGATGGAGAAGACACACAAAAGTGCATTGTTGCGCACGCATCATGGATTTGAATGACGTGTTCTTAGATTAATGGCTCATAATTTGGCTTAGAAGCTGAGGATGTAATTCCGGGCTTTAAAAGTAATATAATTGAGCAGTAAGAGAAGATTTCTAGGATCGTAATTCAGATATTTATTAGTATTTAGCTACTCAGTCGACAGTATTCTGGCTTCAATCGAGTGGGTCAGTAGAGCCTAAATGAAAATACGGCTTTCAGTCTTTAGTTAATAAGACATATACATGAATATATAGTTAAATTTTGCGCGGTAATAGAGCTGGTAACTTTGGCCGTTAATACTTTTCGCCAAGTTTCGAATCCTTTAAGAGTTTTATTCCACTTCACTGGTTTGGATATTTAAAAAAACTATATTTGAAGAATATAATCAATAATATGTAGAGATCGAGAAAAACAAATAACTATTTAAACATATTTCTAAACGAATTTATGTCGCTTATTTGGCCATGTACACGGTTCTTAAAACTGAATATATTTATTTCGTCAGACGCCACGAAAAAAAATTAACCATTTAAACACATTCAATGAAAATACTAAATGGCCGGCAGGAATAGGTTACTCAAAAATAGAAAGTTTCACTATTCTATATTCTATTATTTTAAAAATCAAAAAAGAAAAACGGAAAAAAGGAGCAAAAGCGTGAGTAGGTATCTTATTTAGGTCACCCATCTAAGGTTAACCTTGCTCGGGCGAGCTTGACTCAGTATCTTGAACAGCAACGATTTATCCACTGGACCACGGTTCCAGGTGAATCAGCATAACAATAACCGTGAAAACAATGCACCGGATAGACTAGACTTTTTAACAGTATTTTTTCAACCGATTCCGTGCGTGGCAGAGATGCAAGGGATTAGCCGATATGGTCTGGGGGCCGGCTGGTCTCTCCCCTGATACTTCGGCTAGAACATTTTCTTGCGTAATTCGTACACCCAAGGGCAGAAGGATTTAATCGCCGTCAGGTCCGAAGTCCATACGCCGCCTCAGCTCTGCGGATGTCTCGGGGGTATGGCAAAGTTGAATCGCGTTTTTTTTTTTTCTTCTAATATCTGTCGGTGGGTTCGAACCCCATCGTATCTAGATGAGATTTCCATTTTTTTTTTAATCCATTTTTTTATTAGATTTAAAGCTTCAACAATAAGGCAATCTTTTAAGTGAGAACTTTTTTCTTCCTATTCGGATGCTTATTATAAGCCTGTATAAGTTCGATCAGACGTTATCAATTCATAAAAGCAATATATTGATTCGCGAAAACAAGACCTATACTTTCCTATCGTTCCTGGCAAAGTTTACTGATATGACAAGAACATTTACTGCACTTGGATCATGGTGTGCCCGCAAATGACTAGTGGGTGGTGCCGTGAAGACTTCTGGGGGCTATTGCTCTATTTTGGTGATTCTGACAGAGAACATTGGGATATTTGTTCTTGTTGCGTCATGGCGCAAGTGATGTGACAGGCGTAATGCAAAACTGTTTATTTTGTAGCCTAAATAAGGGCAGAACCTGCAAATATCTTAATATCATGTAGAGAACACCTCAAGGGAGAAGGTCGTCCTGTCTTAGACAAGTTAAACGAAATCATTCTTTTCTGTGAACCATTCCTGTATCTTTTGACTAATATTGCAACGAGGCTTCTGTGCATGATACATTTAATAATACTTTATTCAAAAATGCAGATTACATATTTTGAAAAGGAAGACATTGAGGTTAGCCCTATATAAGTCCCCTAATGCAACCCAATGAACGCCTATAGGACGTCTTGTTCAATTCACAGATGGAATTGAGCTTGTTAGGTTTTGCTGGGGGAGGAAAACCGGAGAACCCGGGGAAAAATCCTCGAATCAAAGGAGAGACCTAACAAACTCTACACGTGATGTCTAGGAATCGTATCCTAGGCCCAAGAGGTGACAGGTGCGTGTACGTCCGCTACACCACTCTTGATCTCCCTATATTGACCCCTTGCATGTGACGTCAAAGCAACTCAACCTGAGAATCAGAACCTATTGTTTTGCCCCCAAGATTGAGCTGCATTCCAAAGTGCTGCAAGAGGTCTATATATGTAAATGTTCTTTTAAAACGTATCGATCACGACACATGGCTTTTTCATGAAGAGGTATATTTTGGGGCAATAAAAACATGAGGTTCTAATGCAAGCTTGGAATCGGGAATCCTGTGGCTATGTTGTTGAAGGCAACTGCTGGTCATCCTACTGAGCCCGCAATCCAAGCAACATGAAGATGGCGGAAAAAATACTAACAAACATACCTCAAGGTATTTTGCAGAATTAAGCATAATTGAATCTAATTCACACGTCATTCTGTATTTCTGTGTACATAAATAAATTTATTATCTATTTTTGTTGATTTCATTTATAGGTTTTAACGCAGCTGTGGAAAAAATCAAAATTATTCCTCAGGATATTTTTGCTGAGATAGTAAGCATGCACGTTTTCGAAACTAACCCCTTTGATTACTGATCTTATACGTTGCTATTGATATATAGGATTATTTTATTGCTAATTGGGGTGGGAAGGAAAAATGGCAAAGAATAGATATAATGACAGCAGTATGTCATTGGTGGATCTGGGACTTTGAAATTCAACACTCATGTTCAGGCTTAAATAATAACATAAGATTCAATAGAACGACATCTTCAGATTCCAAAGAATATCATCACTGAGATCCACCACCTCTGTAAATATACTTTGTGCTCAAGTTTGTAACATAATTCTTGTTTTTAGTGTCAAGATGTTGCTGATTTTCTACAGTACAAACTTAGTGTGATAGACACTGAACAACACCAAAAGGTATTATGATAATAATAATCCTATTTATTTAAAGAGAGTAACACGTGACAGTTGCCAACTTAGCACTGATAAACTTGTGTGGCCATCTATGTTTAATGTCTCTAAGTGAGATGTGATCGCCATATTATGTGTACATCATCTGAGCCACAGTAAAGGTCATCATATTTTTAGAGCAAACAGCATCTTTTACTCAGATATTTTAAGACCCTGAGTGCTGGTCTGGTTGCAGAGGCCAGTGTCCAACCCTGGGGGTGTCCAACCAAGTAAGCTAAGCGGGAGTTCAGGAGTACTCCAATCGCAGTAGATATTGCCTGCAATTCAGGACTTCTTGATGCAAGTGCTCACCTCTAAACTGGTTTGCCATCGGTAAAGAGCTCTACCAAAAATGTGGCAAGCTAGGCTACCTATTAAAATTAAATGTCAAAAATCCCATCATAATTGCCATTGTCATTATTATCATCATCATGATTGTCATTATAAGATGTCCCTATCAGTGATGTTGTAACATACTTATTCCAAAACAAAATTATATTGTTGGGTTTCTTTAGCACTTACTACGGTTTTCCATATTCTGTGAACTCAGACATTGATTTTTCACTGGCGCCAGTCAAGAAAAAAGCCAAATTTCAGCGTGCAGCTCTCAACTGCTGAGTTTGCAGAATATGGAAAACTGCAGTAAACATTACCTTTCTATCAATTCCTTGCTACACAAGACCACTTTCATAAATACTCAATCATTATCATCATAATATTATTATTACCTGCATATCAGAAACACCTGTATCCAGTATTACCAGCTGTATCATCTCAATTATGATTAGCCAAAGAAAGAGGACCAACAAATAAAACAGTACATGCATTCCTTTTCATTTATTTAATTAAGTTATTCAATTAACTCCATATCAGAGGCTGAACCAGGCTGGTATTGATTGTGATGCAAAATTGGTTTCTAATGTCATCACCTACATTTTCAGGTATCCATTTAATTTGATTTCATGTTTTTCGTTGTTGTTGGGTATGTTATTGTTGTTGGCAATATTTTTATCATTATTATGGTAATGTTTAGAAAAATGTTAATGTGTCAATCATCCTTACAATAAATTACACAAAACAATATGTAACGTCACTTTGATTTGGTGGATTGTCCAGTAGATTTTTGGTTGGAATTTGAAAAAACGATCAAAATAATTTTGTCATCATATGTACCCAGTTATATTATTGCCAACATTTTCATTTCTTAATTTGACGTTACTTTCGGCGTCAAGCATTGCCTTGTTTAAAAGGCCTATGAAAAATATTTAACATAACACCTTGAGACAGTCCAAATAACTATAGTTATGCTCCCAAATTATATTCATATCACCTCTTTACTAAGTGTTGTGGTGGGCCATATAGTCTAGTTTTAAAATTCTCTAATATAATTGATACTAAAAAATATCTTCATTTTTGATAAGATCATCAGCTAAAGCCAAGGCAACACCCAACCAATTAATTGAAGAATTGAGTGCCGCTATGATTTGGGAAGAGTCTTCACTTGCTGTTATTAAACACATTTGGAATGAACAGGTGTTTCACAGTTTCTTAGTTATAACTGAAAGTATGAGTATACTTAGATAATGATGAAGTGAGGGAGGAATGAATAAATTTTCAAACAAATAAAACAAGAATGAAACAAGAGAATGAATGGAAAAAAGCGAGGGAGAGGGGAAGTGGGAGACAAAAATGAAATAAATATAAAGGAAGGGAGGAAAAAGTACATTAAATGGAAAAAATATGATTAACTAGAGGTAATTGGCATCCCATTCTTTATATTTTCTAACATTTCATAATATGTTTGTCATCAATAGGGGAACTTTTTGTGTAGTCCAGATCTTGTGAAAACTTTAAATGTTGGACAGGTAGGTTCAGAACGTAATACTGGCTATTATGTTTCTAATTTAATTATTAAAAGGACCTTGGCTGCATTATCTTACTTGAAAAGATATAGAATATTAATAAATAATATTATTATTAACTTATGTATAATTATTAGAATTAAAGCTCATATTTCAGAGGATTCTTCATTCTTATTTTATTTTCTGTAGTTGGTAGATATGAGGTGGAAGCTAAGCATTGGGATGAGCTCCAGCATCTGTCGCAATCTAAATGCTCCATATATCACTCTTTTGATTACTGTTTCTGATTCCTCTGGAAATCTTAAGTCCAAATCCTGTGAATTAACAGTCAGTGAATTCAAGGTAGGTTTGTTCGTAAAGAATCTAATTACAATTATATACAAGGGATATGGTGGAGACTAGATAAACTAGTTAACCGCGTCGGTGTTTGGAATCGAACAGTAGGAGAATTGATTTAACTTAATACACCGTATGGTTTGTGATGTTTAGAAAATGACATTTTGGACGTTAGTCCTTCGTCGGAGTAAATGTCATATATACAAGGGTACTGTTTGGCCAGGGTTTTCCTTAAGAGGCTGGCATCAGAGAATGTTATGGTAACTGAGCAAAATTCTCCATTTTAAACTATCAATAATAGCTATACAAGCTCTCTGGGAGCTTGTGATCTTCTCTTATTATTTCAAAACCTTGTTAGCTGTGATGGTTTCTTTTGTATGTTTGGTAATCTCGTATGGCAGTTGAAGTAACATTCTCACTACTGTGACCAGGGTTTAATTTGTAGGCACTTGCATGAGCAGAGGTCCTTCACTGCTTTTCATGTCTCTAGTTTTTGTCAATCTTCAAAAATTAAATAAAATTTACTAATTCGTAGAACAACAGTATAGAAACTAAATAATCCTTGTTTCTTATTACAGGGATTTTACTTGGCCCATGAAATAAACTTGTATAATTATAGTGACTAACAGTCCAAGAAAAACAAAATAAAATAATATAATTAGTATTTACTTCTATTATTTATTTTTTTTTGCTATTTTTTCATTGGCCAAGTAAAATCACTCTCAATAGTAGAACATGATAACCAGTGGCTAACAAACCTTTGGTTCTTGTTCCATGATGAGTCGATTGCAATATGCCAATTTTCATGTAGTACTAATTTTCAAACCTTTTTTTGTTCCAGAAATTTTCTAGCCTGATGAGAGAAATGTCTTCAATGCTTGAAACTGTTTAGAGACTGTACTCAACAGTGTGATTCAAAATCATTCACTCGTTACCATTCACTGGGTCTTTTAATATGCTACCATATGTATAATAATGATGATCAAAATATATATAGATTTGAATTAAATTTATTGCAAATTTTTAGTAAACATATTGATTAAAATTATGTTGGTTAATGAAATTCACCTGCATATAATAAATCTACCATATTTTTCGTACATGTACATGATATTGAAATTATATTTAAAATCCTGCTTATGAGCGTTTCCGGTTATAAGCCCCAAAGTCCCCTGGTTATAAGCCAACCTCTAATATGAGGGTTATTTTGTGAACCATGAAATGAGAATCATACCCCCTCTCCTCTTTACCACCTTGTACCATTGCACATTTATGCTGTCAATGGAACGAAAAATAATGACTGGGAAAATGAAAGAAATATTTAACCATTTCCTTCCCCTACCTCCTACCCTGCACCCCCAAAGATTTCCGCCAGTTATGAAAGAAAATGACTGATAGGTATTGATCTCAACAAAAGAAATTTATAAAGATTCGAATAGTGTTTTCACTAATTTTCTTTAGAAAAAATTCTGAGCTCCAAAACTTTCTGAGCCACGTTGAAAGAATTTATGTTCAAATTCCTATTATAGATGCATTGATCTTCAAGGAAACAGACGGAAGGAAGGATCAAAGAAATGGATAAAGGAAGGGTTTCTAAAAACACAACTCTCTTTACCGTCAACCCACCAAAAATTTTTGACTTGACAGACACTTGACATGTCCAAGTAATTTCCTTAACTAAGAAAATATTAACGAGATGGGCTACCTGTGGCATTATTTCTGCGGTTATCGTGGGTACTCTATCCCATGAAGCTTTGCGGGTCAATTCGCCGCGCAAAACAAAAAAATTGATCAAGTTGGTTACTGGGTGCAGGACAGACACACAGTGAAGATTTTACCCATTTACACACTTTATATTACCCTTAAAACAACATAATACACAACTGCGACAATGGTAAGTCATCCTTTTCAACATTTATCCGCTTATTCTTTTTATTTCAGGGTTTTTAGTTGCATTTTTTGGAGACTTCCAAACGTGTCTCGATAACTGCTTTGACAGAGTAAACAGAAGACAATCCGTTGACATTTGCTTGTGTTTTCCTAAGCAACGGCCACGCTATGTGGACAAATTGCGTCCGTGGGAGTATTAAACACAAAGCTAAATTCAAAACAACTGATACATTTTGGTTAGAACTACCAAACACGAGATAGCTGGAGCGACTACATTGACGGTTAACGAACAGCCAACATTCTTCTGTTGTTGATGACTCATATTGCTTTTGAAGAAATTTCCGTTAACATTTTTGCAGCCTTTTATCCTTGGGCTATTCAAGGCTTTTATCAATCCTGTTCTTGGCAAATTAGTTTATCAGTTTTGCAGTGTTATTGTTGATTTGCTCTTCAGTATATATTGACTCTGGTCTTGTTTCTTTGCCCTGTGTCACTGTAAATAAGTTCACAGATTAAGCTTAAGCTTGATAAATTCAAAAAATGATTATTTCCGACAAACTAGATTTAAAAAAATAAATTAGTTAAGAGCACCGTTGTCACAATTACTTAAAGAATAAGAGAATTCCCTTTTAATGATTAAATACATTTATACAACTTGATACACAGGCAACTGCATACAGAAAAGGAGGTGGTCTTGGTGCTGGACAGCGAAAAAAAACTGGTATGACAAAAGCCTTGCTTTGTACCCCTTCACTTACTGTAATTCACAGTCCTACTACTTTTGATCACCTGTAATCCTTTGTTTCCTTTGTACATATATAATCTTTGTACATCCTACATGTGTACTATGTTACTGTAACAGCTGTTAATTAGAGTGTACTGTGCTGTCAATAACATTACTTAACAATTATTCGCCAAAGGCGAAGTAAATATTGGGGAATGTTTACCAAGACACAAGTCTTCGAGCGGTGAGGTAAATATTCTCCGATATTCAGTGAGTCCGAGGCAAATAATTGTTTTAGTATAAATACACAGGTGATTCTGTCAAAAAAAGAGAAAAGAAGAAGATAAAAGACATTTTTTCCCGGTAACAGCAAAAAAGCAGCTGGCTGCCATTTTGGATTATTGCTGGAGGTGATTATCATGTGATAGTGTGAGTTTCTCAACCAATCACCGTGCGAGATTTTCAATAATCACCTGTGTATTTTTACTAATGTATGTTATTCATCGCTTGAAAGGTTTGGGTTTTCTAATACTGGCTATTACGATCACAGTTAAATAGTCTCATTTCCTTTCTATTTTATTTCTGGAGCATGATTTTTCTCTTTTCCTTGTATCTTATGAGCTTTTACTAGTAACGCTATACCATGTACCAAGCTAGAAAAAAACTAGTCATGTTCATTTTTTGGCTACATTTCCAGTTTGCTCTTGAAGCATAGACTAGAATACTGAAGGTGTGGGTTAAGTCCTGCCAAGAGTATGACATTTTTTAATGGTCATGAAAAGGTTATTTATTTGCATGCAGTGATACTGTGATCGGATCAAAGGTGTCACCAATTCTGTATATGATAAAACTGAGTATATTGGCATTTGTATCTTGTTTATAATGGAAGACTGGAATTATTACTTAAATTTTTTGATCAATGCTTTTATAAAGAGAATTAAACTTTTTTGCAATTTGCATAACAAGATTAGCTCTCTGTGTACCTTATTTTATATAAAAAATGCTTCAAATAAGAAAATTTTGGCTAGTTTTCAAATTTTAATGCGTGAAGTCAATCATTTGAAGGTCCCAAACCTGAGCTGACAGAGGAACAGAAGCAAGAAATAAGAGAAGCATTTGACTTGTTTGATACTGATGGCTCTGGAACAATAGATGCTAAAGAACTAAAGGTAATCCATCCATACATTTTACAAATCTGCTTTCACATGATGTTTTTTTAAAATATTTTTTTAAAATGCTGTGTATTTAGCAAACTTATGTATGTTGAGTTTTGCCAAATGACTTTTAGGTTGCAATGAGAGCTTTGGGTTTTGAGCCAAAGAAAGAAGAAATAAAGAAAATGATATCAGACATTGACAAAGATGGCTCAGGTAATCTTTTTAGATTTGGTATCATTTTGGTGGAACAATAGACTTTAGCCCTACTTGCCTTGCATTCAATGAGTTTCTGGATTAGATGGTACAACCTTTTGAAATGGTTTGACTTATACACTTGCCATACTCCAATAGCAGTTGTAAATATGTAAATATCAATGAATTACTTTTTCATTATTAGGTACAATCGACTTCAATGAGTTTCTACAGATGATGACAGCAAAAATGGTGAGTGGTAATGGAAATTGCATGTTAGACATCATTGCTCCAAGCAAACATTTTACTTCTATTAATTCTAATTTGATCATGGAATAAGAGCCACAGGTTTGGTAGCCACTGACAATTATTATGAGTGTGACCCTCATAAGATGAGGGTGGTTTAAAGCATTTGTCTCTTGTAGCTTTGACTATCTCCAGAATAGATGCAACCTTCTTTTATTTTAGAGTGAAAAGGATTCCAAAGAAGAAATATTGAAAGCTTTTAAACTCTTTGATGATGATGAAACGGTAAGCAATCAAAAGAATAAGTTTCCTAAATACTCCTTCTGAGTTATTTCCTTGTATTTTTAACATTCCTGTAGTTGATATTTAACACTGCAGATCTATCAGTTCAGTCACTATAGGCATTAACCAGCCTACAATGACAGGCAAACACTACTCGTCATGTGCTATAAGTTATACAGTATACTATTGCTTGTTATTAATCATTTCAAATGCAATAATAATAATGAGCTTTATTAATCAACCTTAAATAAAATATATGATGGATTTACATGGTTAAAATTATTGATATAATTATTATACAATATTCATATTACAAGATAATATGAACTAAGAGAAGGAATCCCCATGCCCCATCATGTTCACACTTTGATGCTATTTTGATGCATATCAGTGGAATATTAGAATCCATTAGAACACTGAGGATTAAACCTCTTGCTTTTGGCTGGTCACTTAACAACTGAGCCATATACCTACTGCCAAGGTATAATTCTATTATATTATATTTTATTTTATTTTATTAAAAAAAGAAATAATAATCCTTTTTTGCTTGTGAATTGAAGGGCAAAATATCATTTAAAAACCTAAAGAGAGTAGCAAAGGAATTAGGCGAAAATTTAACAGATGAAGAACTGCAGGTACGTTCATAGTGAGAAAAAAAGGAAAACCTTCTCAAGTTTCTCTCTGCTTCAGCTAAGATGGAAAAAAAGTTTGTTATATCTTGAATGTTTTATTACTTCTTATAGGAAATGATAGATGAAGCAGATAGAGATGGTGATGGAGAAATCAATGAGGCAGAATTCCTTCKTATAATGAAGAAAACAAGTCTATATTAAGCCCTGTACTACACACAGCTATACTTATTTACTAACTTTACAAACACTCATAATGAAGAGCTAAAGACAAGTATTTCTTCTCCTTTCCATTCTGTTCATCCAGAATCTGATCTTATGGGAATACTATCTTTATTATACATATTTATTAGTTTTTGGTGCTTATCATATCCTTTTATTTCTTCCGTAAAGGATATCAACTTAAATGGGCCATAATAATATCTTGATAGAAATCTTTTTTCATGCATTTTCGATGTAGAAAGAGTCAGCTTATATATAAGGATTATACTTGTCTTGAAAATGAGTTACATAAACTCGAGCTGGATTTTTGGTAAAAATTGCAGCCTAAAATAACTGCTTTTGTAGGCAGCAAAAAAATCCTTGGTACATTTTTGCATTTAACACAATTCACAAAATCAGAAATTTATTTGCATAGGTGCATGGATTAAAATGACCACTACATACAAGGCACCATGACTAGTCTTCTGTAACCTATATGTCTGTACACATACACATAGATATATATGCAATATTTGCTCTGCTTCTTATTCCTGTTAAATTTTCAAGTGATTTGCTCTCAGTAGCCCTGAAATGATTGTAAAAGAAACTATAAAGAACTACATGGTTGTACAACTATTTTAGAAAAAGTTTGAACCAATACCTTGGGTGTTTTATTTTTGTATATATGTCAAGTTATTAATAACACTTTAACAATGTGGCGATTACAGATGGTATATATAATGCTTGTTGTGATTCAGATATCTCTTAGTTTTGAGTCATGGTGACAGTGACCTGCTTTGCAATTTGACAAATGATTAAAAGGACATATGCTGGCTTCCAGTGAGTCTTGAATTATGACTATTATGCAACTTCTTCCATTACTTTGTTGTTAAACATTAGCCTCTGACTTGGTTCTTATGGCAGTCTCATCAGATTCTTGAGCACTGGGATACCTGTGCCAACAATCACAACACATGACAGGTATCCCACACAGCAAAAACAGAAAAATTCCGAATTATTGGTTTGACTCAAACTTACGATAATTAGAGAAAAAATACATAAGCGATGTTCGTAACAGCATCAAAAACATGCTTCATTACGTAGAATATGGCTAAAAATTACGTATCCATGTAAGTTTATACCCCCCTCCCCCCACAAAAAAAATCCGAATTATTAAAATTTTACCCACCCCTATATCGTTTATAGGAGATCAAAGGCTCAGTCGTCACCTCACATGAATATTCTCAAAATGGCTTCGGCTGTACAAATATTCAATGTGAGTTCTTAGATAACGCTTGACCCAGGCCTTGCTAGATAAACATAGCTCTGTTAAATAGCTTTTTAAATACTAGAAAATCTTGGAATGCATTAAAAGGAAGGATAAAAGCAATCGTAAATTTTGTCATTACACTTAAGAGGTTTTTGGGAGGGGAGTTTCGTTAGTCTTTGGAATCTGCATGTTTTATTTCTTGTTCTGTGCTCTGCACTCATATTACTGCTTGACATCGGTGGAAATCCTTTCATAAAATATTCATTTTTTTCTCACAAGTATTTGGTTTATTTGTTGCTCATTTACTCAGTCGCTTTTCGTTATACGCTGTTCAAATCGGTATGGGTGCAAAAGGGAATATATCAAGGAATATATAATTGATAGAGAGTGAATATAAAATAGTCAATATTAGATGATAATAGCTAATAATCTTCCGATCACGCGATATTTTACTGCATCGTTTTAGTCGAGGATCTTTGCTGATAGACGGTTTAGGCCGAATTTGTTTTCTTGGGCCAAAACATCGTTGAATGTCCTTCACAGTGGATAAGGAAACACTGTAGAAAACATTTATTTTATTTAGCTTGCTCTGACTTTCCCTGCTAGCAACAAAAGGAAAATAGGCTCTGCTAGCAGGGAAGCTTTGACTTGACGCAAGACCGTTATTAGCTCTATTGACTTATGGCTTACATTGATTGCTCACGGAAAAATAAAATATCTAAAAATCAAAAAGAAAAAGTCTTTATTGTCACATTTCTGGCCTGAAACAAAGAGCCATAAAAATATGATTAATATTTATAAGGACAACATTTGTGATAATTATTATTTTTCACTGCAAAATCAATATCGTCTGTTTTGATTCCAATAATTTATTCCATTTTAATTGATGCAGGCGAGATCAAAGACAATAAAATTATTAAAAACAAACATTGGATTGTTCCTTGACTGAACTAATTTGGGTGAAGAGGCAATGCAGCTATGTTGGTATGCCCTTTTTGGGCAGTGAAAAGATAAATTGCGACTCATACTAAAACTATTTTGGGCACGTCACAGCTTGGGCTTGCCGAGGGTCACGTGTGATTTGGTATACGCTTCTAGATTTACGTCTTTCCGCTTAGTCGTACTTGAGTAAGTCACGGCAGAAATAACCGTAGTCGCAGTCTTGAGCTCAAAGAAATCGTAAAAATGGCTACAAGAAAGATGATTGAGAAGGACGATGCTCTGTTGAAGGATATTTTTGATCTGTACGACACGTCTGGCAAGGAAAAGATTGATGTGAACTATCTTGGACAATGTTTGAGGGCTGCTGGATTGAACCCAACCCAGGCTGAAGTCCGCAAAGTTGAACGAGACTTTGGGAAAAACTTGATGGCTTTTGAAGAATTTCTTCCCATATTTCACTCGGTTTCACAACACTGTTTGGCCACAGAGAATAAGGTTTCTTCTGAAGGGGTCATCGATTGTTTCAAACACTTCGACCGAACAGAAAGCGGCTTTATTTCTTCCTCGATGCTACGACATGTTCTCACATCTCTTGGAGAAAAGTTATCCGACGAGGAATTTGATGTATTAGTCAGTAACTACATCAATAATCGTGGAGAGATCGACTACGAGACGATGGTCAAGGAAATTTTGATGATATAGTAAACGACAGTGAACTTTTACTCCTCTAATAATTTAAAAACAAAGTTGTAACTTAAAACTTCTTAAAATTGGTAGTGAAGGTTATCTGGAACATCAAGACTAGCGCTAAGTTAACGTATAGTTTAGATAAATCTATTTTATAAGCCCAAGAAATACTTTTCGCAAGAAGTTTTTAATATTTTGTGAATTGCGACTATATATTTCTTAGCGTGTCGTAGGTCAGAACTGTTTTGAGCAAATATCTTGAAGTCCAAAAAATTAAATAGAACAATCTAATGGTTCACTATAAAGATCCCGACTTCTATTGATAAAAAAGCTTGACTTTCAAACGTTTTATCTAGATAACCTTGCAAAATGTAAGAAGTTCTAGAGCAAGTATCGAATTATTTGTATGAATAAACATAATTTTAAAAACAAAGATGTTTTCATTTGTATCATATGCACGATAGCTGGCTTTGGGTCGGCGCGAGTCACTATGAATGGATGTATTATCATATTTATAAATCACCCGTTGCGTGTTCGCTTTCAAGTCAGCCTATTTAATTATTCCCCTGAGATGAGTACTTGGCGAGTTTAGCATAACCCTTAGTGACTAACAATAGCCAATCGACAGTCATAAATTTAATCCGTCGCGAAGGTCTTGCTATGTCATTGGACATAAATATTTAATATTTTCTTCTTGGTTTATCTATGCCTGCCCCCCCCCCCCCCCCCCCCCCCCCCCCCCAAATCAGGGATATAGGTGGTCATGTTAAAATTCCCTTTTTTAACCTTAGAGAGTTGGAGGGATTAATCTGAAAGAGTGCATGTACAATAAAGTCAAGTACAAGTACATATAATCCTGTTATTTGTGCACTCTTGCAAAGTTATTAGATTCTTATCAAACGTATTCATAATTCCACTGAATAATTATGTGATGTCCTCTGATGCTCGACATCTGTCTCACGGTGACAGTTATAATCCAAAATTCAAGAATTTAGATTTAAAAAAAGAGATACTCTACGAATTCAAAACGCATAAGGAACAGATTGTAGGAAGAATTCCTGATTATTAACAAAGTGTGTGGAAAAATCCTTTTAACATCGATAGTCTAGAAAATTACATTGATGACTGATTCAAGTCAAATGTTAAGTATATAAATCGTAAGAACCATATGTTGGATGATGTCTAAAACAAATTCTTAGAATAATTGTTCATAATTAAATGACGTCATTAAATTCCACCCTTCTATGACTGAGTGGTGCCCATGACCCAAAAGAGAAGCCTCGATCATCCTTGGCCTGAAAGATTTGAGGCGAGGGCTTCGTTGCTTGAAGGAAAATGAAAAGGTTTTTTTGGGCTTCTTTCTAATTTCTCTCTTTCTTTCTCTAGATCTCCCTTTTTTTCTTTCTTTCTTCCTTTCTCTTGTTTTCTCTCTCTTTTTCCATTTAATCATTCAAAATTATACATCTTTTTTTTCGTTTCCACATGACGTCATAGCCGCTATCTTGGTTGAATTTAACTTGTTATATCAACCAACATGGCCGCCGTGTCTTTTGTTATTTTACTACCTGGGGAATGATCGAAACTAGGAATTTTTACGTAATTAATTCATCCTGATGCTATGCTATAGTCAAAACATTTTATTTACTACATTGATTAACAGTCCCTAAGGCTCTTATGTTGTCAGGGAAGGATCAGTCTACCTTTATACTAATGCATAAAAGCTCCCAAAAATGTGTGCTGACTACCAAGGTAGAGTCGGCTATCATACGTAAGCCTGCAACTTATTTTGTCGCCTTTGTTTAGTTTCTGCGTCAGACCAACGTAGTAAGAACCCTGTGTGGGGAGACCTGGATGTTTACCCGCCAGTGCTACTGGACGGTTGTTGATAAATATCCTGAGAAATAAAGAACTGCGAGTGAAAACTTCGAATATGATAACTTGCCGGGCTATCTTTTAGTTAATCCGCTTGTTATCTTGTCCTATTTTCTCTATCTCACTCCTTGTTTTTAAACTTGATCTTCGTTTTCCCCTTTTTTCAGTAATATTTTTACTCCTCAAGGATGTGATATGAAAATCATAAATCCAGGATGTGGGATTGGGAGGGGAGGGGGGGGGGGCACATTAAACACTATTCATACACGTTTCAAATAACGTTTTTAGAACCCTCAATCTCGTTAACCCCGGTCATTATTTATTGTGGTAGGGTGGTTGGAGGATTATTGCTAGAACATCATCAGTAATGATTGACTGATCTCCCCCAAGAGGCACTATTTTTTATGATCACCCATAATTAGTGGTTTGCACTAAGTAAATCCCTCTTTGATATATATATATATATATATATATATATCTGTAAATTTTTCAGTTAGCTGATAACCCCCCTAGTTGTCTATACTAAACACCATGTGATTCTCACTAAATTCCACACCCCACCCCTGCAGGCGATAAGTAATGACCTGTCCTTTTTCCGGTATTTTTCATCTCTGACCGCGGTCCGGTATCCTGGGATAATGGCGGATTACTTAACAACAGCAAAATTTGCAAAACAAGTTAAAAAGTAAACCTTGGACACAAATTTTCCCTATCTGGACCTCCTGACCAGTAAATAACCTCTTTACGCATATGTACCTGTGTCTTCCTGCGTTATTTCCCAAGTTATGATACACTTGGCAGTACACAAAGTACACCCCATTAACGGGTACTGTTATGTAGCCATTAGCATACTTCATGCCACCCGTTACATATCCAGCCGGCGCTGTAGTGTTCCAGGAATCCATATCTGAAAACCCACAAACACACACAATATCGTCGGTAAAGTTCTTCGGAACAGCCAACAGATAATTCTTCCCATGGGGTAACCGCAAAACTTACATGAAAGACTGTAATTATATTTGGGCGTACCATGACGACATTTGTTTTGGCTGATTGCTATTTAAATTGTCAACCAAAAATCTATCAGACAATCCAGCAATGCAAAGTGACAAAACTTATTGTTAAAATGGTTGGCACATTAACATCACAATAGCAATGTTTATAATTATTACGTCCACCAATACCACCTCATACACTTCTTATGCCAAAGCTGATTGTGCAGTCTTCTTCATTTTATTTTATTGTATTTTTATCTTTATTCTTATCTTTATTTTTTATTTTATCTTATTTTTTTCTCTCTCTTTTTTTTCACTTCTGCGTTTCTAAACGTTAATGGTAATGACATCCGTCGAGGCTTGATTCATAGGTGGTGAAGGGTGGGGTTGAGTGTCATGTGGGAAAAACTGGGTGACGGGCCGCGTACTGCTGCTTTTAGACTGTTACCTTCGTTCGCCTTCCATTTACTCCGGAAAACCTCTTTCTCATGTTAACGATGATAACAGACTCCCGTAATATTACTTACATTTTACTGAATTTAAGGATTTCAAAAATTGAGTCACTTACTCGTATCGGCTTTGATTACGGCGTGTTTTTCCTGTGCTCCATCCAAATGAATCGAGGGACGGTCCGGTCGCTGAAAAACATGAGGTATTCAGTGTCATTTATTCGGGATACAATAAGATTCAAGACTCGGTTCTGAGCCAAGTTGGCTGCTCTTGAAATCGTGTCACAGGGTAATTTGAATCAGCTGATACCAAGTTTCATTAGTTTCGGTCCCAGATTCTCACGGGCCCTCTACATCCACTAGCCGTTAGTGGAGAGGATCTGGGACCGAAACTAATGACGGCTGCGGAGGATGCTAGTTGATACCCTGGGCTCCAGAAATTTGTATTCGCTTGAAATTGGTCTAGACTATAGAGGCCGACAAAGCAGCGAACAACGAAGGAAGAATAAATAACCTCTGGAATCCAGTATATAATGAGCTAAATGAAAGTGATGGATTTTACCCGGAAAACTACCTGTCACTCAATCATTTATCAGGTAATCATTTATGTTTTCGATTTCTTTGCCATGCATCATATAAATAGTGATTCCGCAACGAAAGGAACCGGAAACGATGTTCACTAATGGGATCAAGTTCTGATAATGAAAGTCTGAAGAAAAAAGTCCACTGTAAGCTGCGGAAAGGATATTGCTTCCGAGGCCACGATTTTTGCATTTTAGCACTTTTGATAAGTTACAAGAAAGTCTTAATGTTTACCTGTGTACAAATGACATTGCCATCTCGTCCGTCTCTACCATCGCGTCCATCTCGCCCATCCCTCCCACTGCACATACATTGATTGACGGTACACTAAAAACCATAATGTACAAATTTTTTAAAGTCAGAAAACTGTTCTATTCAAAAATTCATGTTGCTTTAGACTATGTCCATCATTTTCTTCGATCATTTAGTTCTATACCTCTCCTTCCGCCAGAAAGAAAGCCACTGTCACCGCCAACAACAAAGTTGCTAAAATCCTGAATGTAGTCATTGCTCCCTTATGCTATCATGCACTGAGCGAAAGCTGTGAATAACTCACTTTTGAAAACATGGACTTGAGCACAGGATAAAACAGGTCAAACAGGTATATTGGCCTATTACCCAGGGCCGGGTTGTTCAAAGCTGGATTAGTGCTAATTCAGGATTAACTCTATAGGTCTTATTAAGAGTTAACCCAGGATTAGCACTAATCGGGCTTTGAACAACTGGGCCCTGGGCCAAGGGATTGAGGCGATGAAAGAAGGGGTTTTAGCCTCCCTATAGTTTCAGTTTGTGAATTATTTCAGCCTCCGGCAGTCCCTCATTTTTAGAAACTAATCTACTATAGTTTCAAATATTACTCCTTCATCCCAGGGTGTTCCTTATAATTTTATTACAACTAGAAGTATGCACACACATACTCGTGATAAGTTGCACAAATGGTATTTCACCGGGATGTTCTTGTTTCCTGTAGTAGCTATCAGACATTATCTCTCTACATCATATAGTCATGTCTATAGTCAGGTAAATCTTGAGGGGAGCAAATGATAGTTTTCGTGCTATTGTTACTGATATCACCACAAGAGATGCCGAGCGACAGATTGCGTATACACATTCTGGGGTATAGATGTATGGTTTCCATACAAAAATGCTTGTGGGCTTCCTATGGTGATAGAAAAAATAGAGGCGTATGGGTTTACTGTAGTTAATTAATCATCCTGAGTGTTGGGCCTCCTGTGTGTAATTTATCATGTGACAAATACCTCAAGGAGTATACTGAAATATGTGTAAAAGCACAAGAAACCCGGCTCTGGAGCGTGAGTTAGATTACAAAGCCGTACAAAGTAACAATATTTCTTTCCGAGATGGACACGACTAATAACCTTGGATACGATCATGTAAACGCCGCTGCCGCAATCATCCTGTGACAGCGAATAATATCTTAGTCCAGAATTGTACCCAATTTTCTCACCAACTCGTTAATTTATATCTCAAAAATAAGAGGAAATACCGCGCGCGCAAAGAAAACTGAGAAAAGCCTACATAACTCGGTTCCGTATCCGCCGCGCGCGCACCGATCAGAGTGGGAGCAGTAATGGACTAATCCGCTATTGAGATTACGCAATATATTTAATGTAGAACGGACGGATAGTCATATTATGTATAATTATTTTCTCGAAACAACGAAATTCCTGCAATATGGCAACTTCCTTGCCAATCCTATCATCTACGCACTGCGCATGCCTCTGTTCAAGAGAGCGGTTTTCAAAATTAATAAGAACGAGGAACACACCAGCAAAGACATTAAAAGCACGAAGCTTTAACGTTGCGGCTCAAATTTTAACGCGAATTTCTCTTTAGTGGTAAAGTGCCTATCAAGTCTACAGGATCTCTTCTTGCTTTCAAAGCCCTTATAAAAAAAAGAATGACCCTTACTTTCATTTTGAATATCTCTTTTCGTTGCCGAGATATTCAACGTAGATATCACGAAATGACGACGTTAACCCAGGATTGAAGATTTCTCTTTTGGCTGTCAAACATTCCTCTTTGGGTGGCTTATTGAGTGTAACAACGTCTTACAATTATTTAGCTGCATTTTACGGTACACACTGACTCAGTAGGCATATTTGTTTAATTTAAATTGGACATACAGCTCTAGTAAGTCTTAGTCTTTTTCATGCTGACAGCAATAAAATTAAGAACTTCTGTAAAAAAATTTCATAAAAAAATTAGTCATGCTTGGATCTCTTGCTTTTCCTTTCGTGATCATCCCTAAAACAACGACAAAACAAAATGGTAATTAATATTGATTAATTCTGACCAACACTACACAAAATACTAATATATATTCTTAGGCAACGTGCATGGAATCTCACAAAGCACTTTGGGAAACCAAGTACTGCAAAAATGGAACAGGGAAATCAAAGGAACTACCAGAAAACTATCAGAAAAAACTTACTCTGTCATTTTCGTCTGTTAAATACTAACATTTCCTCGGAAAATGGCAAAGGAAAAATTGTCAGATGAATTTTTAGAGGCGAAAGAGCGTGAGTACTCGGTTTCCCATCATACTTTGTTCGTGCTCGTACGCAACGTAGCTATAGAACAGTACTACAACTAAACATTATAGATACTATAAATTGATTATAATCACCCTCATCATAGAAATCGATATATTGGACTAATTTAACTACTTACTCCTCTTTCTTCTTTGGTGCATGTATCATCTGTAAAAAGGTAAGACCAAAAAAAGTCAATGTTTTCTTCAAAGGAAAACTCTAGGCTTATCAAGACAGAGCACTTCATCACACTAACTGAAAACGCCCACACCGAGAAATCCCACGCCCTTCCCCCAACTACATTATAGAGTGGCGAAAGAGTAGGGATGGTCGCCATCCTGCCCTGTGGAGACCTTGTCTTTTATAAAAGATATTTGAAAGGCAGCAGAACCTTCGAGGATGTGCAAAGTTTTGTAGGTCTACTGTCTACTGAAATTACTAATTTCTTACAGAGTTTTTCAAGGATATAGGTATGCACTCTCAAAAATATGTGGTATGCATTATCAAAAAGCTATAAATATCGTACCCTGCTAATACGTTGCCAGTCCCTGTCAAGCTTGGCCTTCTCATCTTTTGGACCAGTGCGCCTGGTTTTACGTCCTTCAGACATCTTAATTCCAAACTGAAAAGCAGCCCTGTGAAAACAAATAACATGCTTTTATCAACTGCTAAATTTCTCACGTCTTCTCACGTGGAATACTGATTAGCAGTTTATTCTGTAGGGGCCTAGCCAGGATTTTCCTAAGGGGGAGACCCAAATTCAAAAATCCGCCATTTTTTTGGGGCCCATGAAACGCTAAACAAACGAATAAAACAAAACAAAAACATAAAAACGACATGTTTTATGTTTTATTTTTACAAAATCTAAAAGGGTGCCCTGGTCCTTTTACCCACTTTATCCCCCGGCAGGGGCTGCAGAAGGCACCCTAAAAAGTGTGGGGTGGGGGGGCTAAGATTGGAAAATATATGAGACTAGTATGGGAAAAGAGAAAAAGTCATGGGTAATGTGGAAATTACAAATCGAAAAACTTACTTTGGCAGTGCTTCTCTAGTTTCCATGTATTCATTGTAGTCTTCTTCATTCTCAAAGTCCCATCTTTTGATTGGACCCTTCTTGTTACCCTGTGCAATGAAAAAAACCATTTCAGCAATCCCCAGCGCAGCTCAAAGATGAGAACAAAATTTCTTTTTTTGTCTTTCAAATTGAGCTGTAAGGAATTATCTTTAACCACTTTTAAGAGTGATTTACACAGTAAGATTTTTCCCTCAAGACTGTCGTGCACAACATACTGACGACATGAGTTGCTTTGTGTAAATCAAACATACAATTTCCCAGCCACTGTAAATGTCAACTGTGTTGCGTGCGACATTTGCGGGAAAATCATACCGTGCAAATCAGCCTTTAGAAGACAACCCAAGCTTCCAGAGCAAACGTATTACATGTCGAACTTAAGTAAAGTTGTCTTGCAATATCAAAGTAATTTAGTAAAATATTTATAACATTATCTGAAGCAATTTAAAAGGTTTATCAATCTCCTTGCCCACTATTTTCTGCACAACGTACTTTCATTGATCTCAAACCAGTTGAAATGTTACAAATTGTTTTTATGAATATTTAAGCACTGTATATTTCTATGTTAAAAAAGTTATCCAAAAATGTTCTAATTATCAGTACAAACAGGTTTTGAAGGTACTAACAACATGTTTAAAGTAGTTACGGCCATGTAAAGTTCCAACCTGTTGGTGTTTAATGAGCATTAGGTATTACTTATGGACTTGTCATCTTATTCTTTATTTATTTATTTATTCATTTATCTAGTAGCAAAGTGATTACAGCAATGATGATCATTCTTATTCTTATTCTCTTATTTGAAAGACTGAGGTCGTTGGTTGGTTTAAACACTTTGAATAATATCCACCAAGAATTAATTCGTCATCACAACGGAGCTTCAGTGAATGCTATTGATAAAAATGGTAACTGTGATGGTAACCAAGTGCCGTGGCAAAAATTCTTGACTAAATCACCTATGTGAGTTGGCTTTGTTTGAGGTATTGCTCTCTCCCTTGCCACAAAAGTTTTTCTCTTGGTTCTCCTTCATAAAAATCAACATGTGTGTTGCAAATAGTGAATGTAATGGTACTGTAGTATGTGTGGAGTCAACTACATGGAGGAGACCCTTATGGGGAATGTTAGTTGTAAAAAATATAAGTCTAAAATATAGAAAATTCTGTAACCTTACCAAATCCATTTTGGTATAATCAGCTTCATCATCACTTTCATATGCTACTCCAGCAGCACTAGAATGAGGAGAAATAGGAAGTCAGTATTGAGTGAGCAGTTTTAGAAATGGCATGTTTTGCCATTTTACACTATGCCTTATGCATGGGAAATTGGTTTTTTTCCCATTCTTTTCTTTCCTTAAAAACAAAAACTTACTCAGGGTAACACTCCATGTAGCTATCTGGAACTTCATGCTTGGATTTCTTGGATTTTGATCTTATACAAATTAAGGTTGTTAATGGCAAAAACCTATTGTAAAATACTGTGGGTTCATTAAAATATTAATCTTCATTTCACTCAAATTTCTCAGGCAGCTTTATAAAATGACAGCTTTATTTAACAAATAAAATAAAATTTTTCATGCTTCATTTAATATTTCGGGACGCAGAAAGAATGCTATTTTTTAACACTTATTTGCAAAGTCGGCTGTGTGCAAAACACGGTTGGTGTTCACAACCATATCTCATTTACTGTCATTCTACTCTAACTGTGAACACTCAAGTTTGTCAACCTATCAGATCAAAAACAAAAATCAAAACAATAGAAAAAATAAAATAAACTTGAGTGTTCATGGTTAGAGATTTAGTTAGAACAGTTTTAATAATACAATAGAGTTGTCAACCCATCAGATCGCATGCACTATTTAGGTAAATAATAAATGAGTCTATAAAGTTCAAAGAAAAGATATGTTATGATGTAAAATGATAAAAAGGATACTTTGACTCTCCTTTTTCCAAGTTATCTGTTCTTTCCTGAAACATACAAAACATTTTATACATTATACAACCTTCCCATATACTCAAAGAAAACTTACAAGACATTATGCATAAAGAATGTACATGTCCAATGCTGCACATACCCTTTTTCTAAACTTTTCAGAAATATCCTTGGCAAATTCTGCAGCATTGACATCTAGAAAGGAGAAATTAATATCCTTTAAGTACACATCTGTTAGCAAATTTTCAATTTTGTTTGACCAGTTTAACTGTATTTGGATGCATACTTTCAGCAAGTATCTTTGTTTCAATGGTATAGGACTTAGTAAATATAGAGAATTTATTATTTGGGATCTTCCAAAATAAGCACAACACTGTGTTTTACAGCAAAAACTAGTGCATTCAAGTATGCAAGTACATCAAAAATGCCATTTAATATTGTTTCCATTGGAAAAAGTTAATTTTGAAACTGATAATACAAGAATGGCTTAAGAAAATATCTTTACCTTGGCTCTCCCCCTCCCCCACCCCCATATGATATAATTACAATATTCAGTCTGAGGGTGACCAGTGACTGATCGGTTGTTATTTTTAGCCCTTTTACTAGAAAGCCATACTAGAAAGCCATTTTAGAAAAGAATCACAATTGAGAATCATAGAGAGCCCTTTGTTTCTACCAAAAAGAAAATGACTGAGCAATGGGAACAAGAAAGTTAATTCAGTAAAGCAGGAAAAAATAAATCCAATTGAAAATATGTCTCTTCTCTAGACATTAGAACTACTACGATTGGTATTGGTATTTCAAACATTCTATGAAATGAGAATGTAACTGAAATAAAAATACCTATTTATTAAGGAAATACAAACCTTTTCTAGAGAAGGACTCCTGTGGAGAGTAAATGAAGTGAATATAAATAAATATTAAAAATTCTAAAGAAATGTCAAGAGTTAAAATAACTTGCTTGATGAAGCATTGAAGTTCAATTAAGATCAACATGCCATAAATTGCCTCACACATCTGATAGAACAAGCTAGAACATAGTTGAAATTCCACACAAAATATTGTAGAAAAACCAAAGTTTTGAATAAAGTAGTTATACATAATCTCTAATAATGCAATAAGTAAAAAAAAAAAAACTGTATGGGCCCACTGTGTTATTACAGTGTTTATGTTAAATTTATCTGACTGGTTTAAATTTAACTCTGCCATTAAAGTATTTTCTTGTAGCTGTGTTGAGGTACTGTCATGAATACAGGGTTCATGCTGAGGTAATCACTTAAAATATTCAAGGACTATTCAAGGAGTATACCAGGACCCAAAAATGAATTTTCAAGGAGTATGTTCAGCTAACTATGCCAAAGCTTTACACGGTGGTTGCACATGGCCAACTTTCAAATTCAATCTTTCTCACTAGATCTATTTTAGAACCATGGTAGTAATGATCAAAGCAAACATTCAAGGAGTTTCACTAAAATCGTAAAATTCAAGAGCTTTTCAAGTGCCCTTGAAAACATGAATTAAATTCGAGGAGTTTTCAAGGATTTTAAGGAGTAGCATGAACCCTGTGAATACTGTACCCGTGGTGAACTATATATAGAATGTTTGCAGTACTAATTATGATGCATCTATATTCTCGATGGGAGGTGAGGGTGTGGTGTATTAAATTGTACCAAAGTTTGACATCATCAAAATTGAATATTAGTTTTGCCATGTTCATAATTGCATGAAGAAGGCACAACATTGCCTATGTTTCTGCACACTTTAAGTTCGTTGCAAGCTGTAGAGATATTGAGCCTTAAAAAATCCCTATATATTTTCTTCATATATTTTTTTCACTGGTTCCAACCATATTAGAACCATGCACCACCAAATAAGAGAAAATGCATAGGGTTATTTTTGCAATAAATTACCTACTAGTTATCTCTTCTGTTTTTCACTCTATCACTCTAAAATTTCACACTATATCCTATTGTTACATGTATGCAGTTTCTGATAACATCACCAAAATCTTAAAGGTCTTAAAAAATAATTTCATACTGTCATCACTATGGTACTCCACATCACTAACTCCCATACCTCTTTCTCTGTAGAGCTTGGTTTCTCAAAATATTGAACAGACTTGGACTTCCTGTCATGGTCCCGGCCACTGTGTTTTGACTTTTCCTGTGATTTTTCTTTACTCTTTTCCCTGTGTTTATCTTTTTTAGGTAAATCCCTTGTTGTCAATGTGGGATCATACTCTCCAATTTCACCATAAATGCTAGAAATAAAAACTATACAATTTAGTTCATGGCTAAATGGACCCTTTTGGAAAACATTTTGAATTTAAGGCCAACATGGAGATGCAAAAGAAACGTCTCAAATCCCATTAGTCCAGGAAAATTCTGATTTCATTTAATGCGTTTTCTTGTCAGCCACGCATCAAAAATAATTTTGAGAAGGGTCCATTTAATAACAGCAAGATATGAATTATCACATTTAACAAAGTTATGCTTTTAACAAGGATTACAATGCACTTACGGTGTGCAATAACAAGTTGCAGTAAGTATTTTTAATCATTTTGTTTTATGATAGTTATGATTCATCAGCTTTTTAATTATAAATCAAGCCAAGCTTTCGAGCATCTTGCTCTTCATCAGGAAGTGAAAATAATAATTTAAACATATAAAATAAAAAATAAATTACCTGTCTTCAATGCTTTGGGGTTTTATTTTTGGTTCCTTTTCCTTTTCTTTTCCTATCAAAATATTATAATCATTCTAATCATTATTTTCATTTCATATCCATTCTATCTTTTAGTAGATTTTACATCCCCATTGGTATTGCCATCATCATGACACAAATTAAAGCAACTTTAATTCAATTGTTGTCAAAAGTCCCAGTCGCCCTATGTGAGCTGAGTTGGTTGGTTCTCTTTCCGACTGTGAGGGTTTTTCCGGTCCTCTGGTTTTTCCTCCCTTGTCTCAAAATCAACCCTAACTAATTCAAACTGGTTAGAGCTGTGCTCTGTGATCATAAATGGACTATATAGTGGCTGCCAGAGGCACCTTCACATGCTTTCAGCTTGACCCCATTGAGATGCACCACTGCTGTACTTGAGGCGTTTATAAGCGATGACAAGTTTTTTTCTTTTTTTTTTAAGTGGAAAACATTAACTATTCCCAGCTCAGGAAATTACTTGTCAAAAATTAAGAAAACCTTTAAACTTTATGGATGCCCTGAAACAGCCTCTGGGTTGAACTCAGAGATCAAATTGGAATACTGCATGTAAAGTTTTGCAGAAGGAGAAAAACTGGGGAAAAACCTTTGAATCAAGGAAGAATTTAGAACTCTAGTTACATATGTTGCTAGTCTGGAAATTGAAACAGAAATTGAACCTGCCAAGTAAACTAAACATAAAAGATTCAGTATTGTATAAGTTACCTTTGTCTTTCTTCTTTAATTTCTTGTTATTCCTCATGCCTTGTCGTAGATATGACAAGATCTGGGTAAGCTTGTTTATGACTATGTCATTTGTCGTAAGGGTGGTCTGGGTCTAAACCATTAAAAACTGGGTTACTGTTTATATTCTACTGTCAGGGATTCCAGTGAGCAAACAAAATACCATGCTTACATCTAGCATTTTTTAATACATAAAAAAATTGAATAAAAGCTACAATTGTTTATAATTGTTGGGTGGTAGTTCCTAATTGTTTTCATTTACCTACTTATTAAACACATGAATCGGGATACTACATGTATGTGCTTGCAAATGCCCTGATTGGTCAAAATGTTTGAAAAACCATGTTTATTTCAGAGTACTAAAAACATGCTCAGCTCAAATGTTTTGTTTATTTAAAAAGCAAATAAAAAGTCTGATGTTTCTATAACTTGGCTTCCTTTCTCTGTAGACCAACATGTTCATATCACAGTACATAGACATGCGCACCATTTTGTACCTCTAATATAAGACCTATGGTCTAATGGGAAAACCATGATCACCCACACAAAAATTTGACACTTCAGGGCTTAAAATAATGTTCAGTGTGATGCCAGTCATGATTACTAGCTAAATTAGTTTAGCTCTGTCATACCACATTTCTACCTTATCGTTACTGGTCAAAATGACCAGCAAGGTAAAGCTTTGACTGGACAACTTCCAATTCTGGGGGGACATTGTCTAATGTGCGGTTGTCATTTTAAGCCCTGCACTTATAACCTTGAATCTGATTGGGTGATGGATGCTATTGTTATAATGCCTAATGTCAATACAAAGGCAAGCACAAATTGTTGTAAACAATTACCTCCATGCCGGGACAATCGGCTTTGCTTCTGATTAATGTTGTGGGGATATCAGTCTCGGCATATTCATCTTCTACCTCGAAAACATAGGCCTAACAGAACATTGACCAATGTAGAGTTCATTAATAATAAATCATAATGAGAAATCATGTTAGACAACTCAATAGACCCATTAGACTTGGAGAGGTTTTTATTCCTTTCCACACTACATGTCATTCCCTTGAGTATTAATATTTTATTGATCAGTGATGCTTGAGAGGTTAATAATGATGTGATTCAAATGAGAAATCAAGTGCTAAGGGAAAGATATGTGGTTTGAAATGTAAAAACAGTTACAACCAGGTCATTACTAAAAGTTATCCATGATGTATATCAATGACAATTATTTCTGGATCATTTAGATGATGGGCATAGCATTGTTATGTCATAACATGCCATTCTCTTTATTCTGATTTGTCATCTCTATCTTGCATGGCATCTCAGTTCTAGATAGACTATTCAATATTTATTTACCATTCTTCCTGGTTGAAATAACTCATTTTTCTCAGGTGGTTTAACTTTAAACACAGCCTTGTATATCTTTTGGCCTGAAAAAGCAATGAGCAAGTGATTGTGTTAGTGTGCAATTAAAAATAAACTAACAAATATTGAAAAATATAGTTTTATTGTAGTAAAATGACACTTTATGTACTTGCACTTTATGTACTTGCATCTAAAATGGCATTTCATCCAATCAGAGCATGCATTAGAACTCAGTAGTTTACTGTATAAAGAACCTTTAACTTTTCTTTATTCAAGTTATTTTGAATTCTTACCAAGTTTCGTTTTGAATTCTTGGACTTCATCTTCATCACCTTCCCCTTCATCACTAAAAGCAAAAGTAGAAAATATTATTCCTAACTATCCATGTAGACATGTTGAATAAATTCAACTAAAGCTAGTCCTATAAATTAATTGGAAATCATAAGGAAATGGCCATTTTTTCCTAATTTTTTTAAACGTTTTTTCCCTCAGCATTCACATATTCATTTCAAATATTTGATTAAGACAATGACAAGACAGGTTTGGGCAATGGACTACAAACAATAAAAAAATCTCTATATTAAATGTTTGAGGTATAGCACAATGGTTACAGTGAGAAGGCACATGGGAATAGTTCATTTGATTGACGTAGCAATGAAACCAATACATTTTAAACAACTTTTTGCAATTCTACACAACAATATAGACAGCTTTATACTGAATATTTGATGGGACAGAATATTGCCCAAACAATGAAGGCGGAGTAACATCATAAAAATATAGAAAATAATCCTTAATTCATAATCCTTTTTGAACTTGTTAAACTGACTTTGAATGAGTGAATAAGACTTAGTTTACATGTATGTACATATATGCTTGTAAATGAATTAATACTTACCCATCTTTGTGTTTAGCTTTCTTCATCACTTCTCCCACTGTTTCTTCCCCTAGATCATTGATCTCACTTCGAACCTAAAATACAGTAAGATTGATACGACAATATTATGACCAAATTATGAGCTTCTTAAAAATATCTGAATTGTCACATTTAATCCAAATCAACTATACGTATAGGCATCCCTTTTCTATTTCACAATTTAATTTTTCAACATAAAGCCAATTCAAGATGTTGCTCATCCATTCACATGCTGAACTTAATACAACTAACATTGGATTGACAACTGAATCAAACGACATACTTGTGTTGAAATTCAATTCTTTCCAAGGGAGAAAGAGAAGGCCTCCAGTTATCATAAGTTTTGTATCATGTTTAGCACATTAATCATTTTGCACTCCAGTGTCTCATAATGGCAGCAAGCTTTGCCAAACTTAGCAGAGTTTGGCATTCCATGTTAAGACCATTGTATCAAACTGATTCAGATGCTGTTTTTTTACAAGACTTTTATTGCTTTAATTGACTTTGACACATGAGTCAGTGGAACTGCATCAGGAATGGGCCTCAGATTTTTCTACGTATATGCTTTAAATTAATATACAGCGTATATTATTGTTACCTTCTGCAGCAAGGCAAAGTCCAGACCTTTCACTAAATGAGTATGTTCCATGTCACCACCCAAGAACTTACTCTCCTGGATTGCTAGCCTTCTTCTTTCAGCTGCTGTGTCACTATAGAACAAGAAATAGTCAAGTTTGAAGTAGCAATCAAAATATTTCTTCTCATTTTTGCTTTCATTACAATGTTTTCATTATTAGAGAGTTTTTTGTGACATCAGAGTGGCCATGGTCAGTGTACCAAGGCAATACATTTTCTATCCTCTGGGAATTAAAATCTATTTTCATACAAAAACTTGTAGAAAGCTTCTTTTGTTTGGTGCAACAATATGGCTGACTTGTCTATAAATTTATATTGTCTTCAAAAATATTTTAAAAATCATTGAGGCCTTTTTTGAACAATAGCTCCCTTAACTTTAGCAAATCCCATAGAAAATGAATTTGAGGCCAAAACAATGAATTTAAATTCTCATCAGCCAAGTATGATATTGGGAATATCCTACGAGGTGTCCTTTTATATAAGGAATATAATAAATAAGGAAAAAAGGAAATTTAAAAAACCATTACCTTTCTTCTTGAGTTGGTCCAACGGCCCTATAGTTAGCTGTTGCACTTAGTGTATCAGTTGCTTGGTAATCAGGATTAAGTCCATCACGACGTTCTCTTGCCTGAAAATAGACTTATATTTTACATCAGCTTATACAGACACAAAGATAGGCTACCAAAATTGGCAGATAATAACATCAGACATATAAATAGTCTAACTGGCAGATAAATAGATTAATAGATGGATGATTGGACGGACGGATGGACAGAAACATAGTTGAATACCATTCAATGTAAAATTAGCACCTAAAGAAAAACTTAGACCTCCAACCGCCATGGACAGACAGGAAAACAAAATTAATATATAGCTTTCAAGAAAAAAAATTACCCTATCCCTGTATTTCTGTGCAAGCTCTTGTTCTCTCTCTTCTTCCATTTTGTGAAGCTTAGCATAATACCTAGCATAAAAATAATACACAAATCATTCATCTTCTTGGGATATTCTGACTTTAGGTTTCAAAGGAACAATTGCAGTGCTTGACACCAAGGCTTTTTTAAATACTTGACAATGGGCTAGTAAGTCTATAAATCCAGTTGCCCAGCAGAGTAGCACTAGCCCAGGAGATAGTTATTAGTAATCCAAAAACCCCACTAGTCTGTTGACTAGTGAGTCCTAATTTTCATTAGCCTTGAGAAAAGATTTACTAGTCCCAGAAGAGCGTACTAGTGTTATTGTCAAGCACTGGATCATATGACATGGAGCCATGGATATTCCTATGAGAATAAAAACTTTAGTGTAAACCAAAAAAACTTAATCTCATTCTAAAGTGCTCAAATTAGAGGCTAGGTGGAGAAAAAAAATTTTTTTTCAGCCAACACATGAGAAGGTCATGAACCCAGACAAAAAATATCTAGATACAGTACTTACTTTTTCTTCTTCCTTCTTTGTGCCGTGGGATCTTCTTCTTCATTATAATCCCTGGGTTTACTGGTATGTTAAATAGATTGAGGATTGGTATAAATATTGACTGACCATGAATAACAATGTAGGAAGAAATAAGAACTTTTACAAGAGGTCATTACCGATAAATAAATGTACATCAGAAAATGAAAAAGTAATATAGTAGGGCTGTAAACTACCCTTCTACCCTTCTTTTTTATCATGATGATACAACGTAATATCTTTACTACATTAAAAAAATATGGATATTTATTATAAGTTATAAGTTACACATGTGGGTTGCCTGTGGATAAACAAAATAAAAAAAACATTCACACAAAATTCAGTTTTAAAGGATATTATGAATTGAGTTTGCGTATTTTCCCTATCGTACATGAATATATGCATGTTGAGGCGTAAATACATGTATATTCATATGATATTTCTGTACCTGAGAGCTAGTTCTGGTCTTTTCTTTACCGTAGGAGGTGCAGTCTTAGGGGTAGAACGAGGAGTCATCAACAGTTTCCTAAAATCAGCATTTGTCATATTTCTAGAAAAGAGGAATGAAGAAAATCAATACTCCAATAACACTTAAACCTAAATAAACATATAAATTTTTTATCAAATAATCAGATTTTAGGACGATAGTGCTTTATGATGACTTACTCCACAGCGCTTGATCCTGAGCTGTGTCCTCCATGATGGTGATGATGACTGCCAGCAGATGGCGGCGCCAAAGGGTTGGAAAATACAGCGCTTTCTGCAGGATTATCAAGAAAACGTTAGCTGAATAATACTTCTTTGGAACTGTTGAGCCTATATTCCGTTCAAAGCTAAAAAGCGCGCAGATATTAACTAATAAATCAGAGTAAGCTTTACCTTCGGGCATCTTGTTTGTGAAGTTTTTTGATAATCTTCCCGGCGAGCTTTGCGGGATAATTTAGAGAGTTACCACAGGGAGTCCAATGTCACATATGTATCATTGATTTGCAATTACTAAATCAACCGGGGTAATTGATGAAAAATCTATCCTTAAGATTTAAGAGATTGCATAAATTTAGTAGGATTTGAACAAACAAGATAACCCGAGTTGTTAAAAAAATTAAATTTACGAAATCTTAAAAAGCTAACAAAAAGCTTAGGTTGGGTTTCCTATGCATTACCTTGAATTTGACATTTCCCAGAATTCCGCCAAATTCCATAAATCAAAATGGCGGGAGAAAGGAGAGAAGGGGAACTTCTTTTTCCAGGTAAATTTTGATAGTCTAAAAGACCAGGCAATACTCATGTGTTTGAGTCAACTGTATCATCTACCGATTTCTTATGATATTAGCTATTTATCAGTTTTATTTTTTGCAGAAAAAAAACAAGAATTGAACACAAGTCTCTGAAAAGTCATTTCTATATCGATATCATGCAAACTATTCCTGAACACGACAAATCTGTTATTAAAGAAGCCTTCTATATAGCTGATGAAGAAAACAAGGGTTATTTAAACTCCTTTGACTTCAAAGTAGCCATGGTATGCCTTTTTGGCTACAAGCCCTCTTCATTTGAGGTTGCAGAAATCCTGTCTAAAATTGACAAGTCACACTGTCCAGGGATCAACATGGAGTTATTCATGCAAATAGCTTCAAGTAAAATGAAGGCACAAGATCATGATGATCAAATAAGAGAGATATTTCGAGCATTTGACATGGAATGTAGAGGATTCATAACTCTTGATAATGTAAAAAAAATATTTTATCAGGTAGCTCCATTCATGGATACAGTAAATGTAGAGAAGGTGTTTAGAGAAATTGATGGTGACAAAGATGGCCGTGTTAGTTATAAAGACTTTGAATTTATGATGAAGTATACAGTCGACAACAATAGTTAATGTCTAGTAGTTGACTAGGTACAACTCCAGACATAACCTACTTCAAACAGAAACAGTTAAGTACAGTGTATCTTTGGGTATTCAGCTAGTTGAGGATAAGGAAGCATGAAATTCTTCAAACAGGAATAGTGGAGTAGAGTAACTTTTTTATTCAGCTAATTAAGGATGAAAATGCAGGTTGTTTACATAGCCAAACAAAAACAACAAAAGTATCAAATTTGGATCTATGTTGTGAAATTCCAGAGGCTTGCAGTCATCCCAAATTATCTTACTCTGGATTATACTGGATGTTATCAGATACCTCCCTATACAATGGTGCACAAGGCAAGATACCCAAAGTAATTGGAAAGGTAACTTGTAGATAGTTTTAATGGAGATGATATTTCACTTTTCTCCACCTCCCAATAGACCCTAATTTGTCAATCTTGGAGCAATGTTTTCCCATTTCAGACCATTACAATGCTAGGCACTACCTTTTTTAAATACTAGGCAAAGGGTTAATAAGTCTATCAATCCAATAGCCCAGTAAAGTAATCTACTAGCCCAGATCTTTAGTAATTCAAAAACCTCTCTAGCCTATGGACTAGTGAGTCTTGATTTTTACTATTCTGGAGCACAGATTTACTAGTCCAAGACTAGTGCACTAGTGTTAGTGTAGAGCACTGGATCATATAACTTTGTACCATGTTTACAGCACAGCTCGTGGGGATGTTAACATATCCATGCATGATTTCCGCATGCAGTGGCGTGTATTCCTATGAGTATAAAAACCTTAGTTTGTACCCATGTTATCTCATTCATCTAGAGAGGCACTTATGCCCATAGAAATGAGTGGTTTTTGTGATTACTCGAGCACTACCTCTACACATACAGCGCATTAATTAGTAGTTTAGATAACATCAAGACAACAGTCGGATAGTGTGGAATGAATGAATAAAATCTATAGGGACTTTCAGTTTCAGAACATAAAATGACATAATTGCAATTTAATTTCTTTGCTCCCTGCAAATATGATGCTCAAAGTATGGCATAATGAGAGGATTAACTCCTTATTAAATATTAATTCTAAAAGGTAGTTGTAAAAAATTGGAGCTTGGGTTCCCTGTGGAATAATTTGCTTTGCTTGTAAATCATGTTCAAATGCATGAATCTGGTGGCCTGAGGAAAACGAGGCTAGGGGTCACTACACTGACAAATGTATTTATATTCATCAAATTTTTTTGTAACATTTTTTTGCCGACTATGCTTCAAGGGTACATTCAGGAGTATTAATGATTATCTATTCTGAGCATCTTAATATGTTTAAGAGGGAATTTGCCTCCGGATTGGAGCAATTTAATATCACTAAATATCGACATTTGATACAGGTTTGATAAAACAAAAATCCCTGTGCTGATTACAGACGTTTTTGAGAAAATTATTTCACCAATGTAAAGTGAGATGAACCATGTCATTTGTTTGTCCTCAGGAATTCCGAGTATGCAAAACCTAATAACTTTACTCATGCGAACAAAGCAACTTTAGTCTAAATACTGGGTTTTTAAAAACCTATTTCATCATCCTTTGATAAGGTGATTAATGTTAGAATAATGTAATGCGACAATAGATTATTCTTCTCTCTCCAGACGCGAAAAAATACATCGGTTAAGGCTGGTCACAGAAGTTTGACGAAACCGATGAACGAAAAAGACGCTATAGGTATTCATTTGTTACCCTAATACTTAAAATAACTACTTGAAATAACTATAAAAGAATAACCTAACACATGGCTAGGGGTAGGGGGTAAGATATCCAATTTATTGCTCTTTGTGTTTTGTGACGGAAATTCATCTCGTGTAACCTGTGCACAAAAAGAGATGTGAACTAGTGTTTAGTGCACCGTAACGTAACACACGTGCCCACCCCGAATCTCACAGCGTTAACATAACGAAGCAAATTCTAGAGAATCATTTAAAACCACCTGCATTTCCTTAGCTCATATATTTTATTGATCCCAAAAAATTTTCGTTTTATTTCATTGGCGGATCAACGTTTTATTGCGCACGCGAGTTGGGTCAAAAAATGTAGTGCGCAATGGCTAGGCAATGTCAGTTGGTCTAGTCAGTGAAAAAGCTGACGATTTTTACACGTGTAGGCATCGAGCATCGCATAGCATTAGAATATTCCGCGATAATGATGTCAAAAAGTTATCATTTTCACTAAACATAAGCTTTTTATAGTACGGTATGTTCTTTGCGGAATTTTAATACTCCCGAAAGTGATGACTAATCGCACTAGAAATCCGACATATTACAACTCTAACAATGGCGTAGATCACTTCGTATTCTCTAGGGGGAATATTATACGTAATACTATTGACTACTATTTCGTCACTTTTAATATCACCTTTGTTCTAAGGAATAAAATGTATTTTTATAACCAGCACCAAGAAAATAAATAAAAGACCTCGGAAACTCATACCAAGTGATTTGGGTTTCAAAGAACACAGGGTTACCGTAGAATATTCAAAGAAATAAATGTCCTCAACCACGCGCGGAGCTTGGCAGATGTTGCGATCAAGCTAACAGACTCTAATACAGTGAACAATTAATCGTGCATAACGAGTATATTGGCGCGAGTCGGGGGCGGTCTTACACAGAGTGAAAATATTTCAAAGATTCGAAGTCCCATTGTGATTGGACAATTCCGATTGGTTTGTTCGGCTTAAGAATGCACATATCAAACACGGCTATCTGTTGGGGGAAATAATTGAACCAAATACTTAGGCCAATGCCAAACAGCATTATACGCGGACTGAGAGAAGAATTTATATTGGCTTGAATATTTCTTAGAAGTATTTCTCGTTGAAGGAGCAGCATTGTGGTCGACTGGAATCTGTGTGCGGATTGGTTGGAATCGAGTTGTCGGTTTCTAATTATGGGGGAATGTAAATGATTCAAGAAACGGACATGTTGATTTGGTCTCAGAGGCATGGAGAAACGGCGATCCAAAATGGACGATAAATGAGGCGAAATGCCCAAGAAAAATACATGTGAAGTGCCTTTACCTTTAGGATGGGAAGAGGCAAAGGATTTAGATGGAAGATCGTATTATATCGATCATTCCACTAAGACAACGACATGGATCGATCCTCGAGATAGGTACGTAAGTCACTCTCCGTAGGTCCGGATTCTAAGTTATTTTAAGGTAGATTGTGATTAAAGCTTTCAAAAATCACGCTACATTAAAAAAACTAGGATAGCTTAAGACCTGAGTTCAACCAAAATCCATAATAAAACTTATAACATGACGGAAAGAAGTTAAAATCGAACAACTTTGAAAGCTGAATACAAGTGTTTCGAATCACCTCTAGACCAAGAATTAATACTATTTGTATGGAATTTGCACATTGCTTGCGATTAGGCGATTAGGAAAGCATCAAACTACAGTATAAAGCTTCTCAGACAACTCGTAGATGATAATAAAAGGTGCAAACTTAGTGGAACATATAACACATCAGCTGAGCTTCGCAAAGTAACACTACGCGATCTTTGGCGACACATTCCATGTCTTACGATATTTCATCCTGTGTTTTGTTCAACGGCATTATTCCTCAAGTATTCCAATTATTTGAGCCTGGTTGTTCCTGTCCTGACGAATATATGCTTACATTTCTTACCATTTTATTCATTTTTAGGTACTTTTTGTAGGTTTGTGTTTTTATGCTATCATTTGGTTTCGAATCACTTCATATACTCTATAATTTAATTTTATGCTCTGTTCGCGCGAACATCAACACTACTACAGAAATTTTTAAATTATTCAAAACGTTTTATATATAGCCCTACATGAAAATTCTATAGGTTAGAGAATTCACGTTATTAGTGAATATTTTCCTCCATTTTACAGGGGCTATTTTAAAACGTGGAATTCATAAAACTTTATCTTCAGACTTAGAGGCTTCCTTTTGACTTTCTCCGGCTAAATTTGAGCTTTCGGTATTCAAAGAATTACTATGGAATCAAATCTCTTTGAACTTTTACAATGATCTTCCATACCTTCTGATCCCGAAAAGAAAAGGTTTTCGAAAACCTATGTGAAATGGTGCTAAATTGTACGGTAAATGTATATTGTGTTAATCGTATTTTCAATAACTAATGTCTTTCCGTAATTTGTCGAACATAACATCTTTTATTTTTAATGAGATTTGGCAAAACTAGATTCTAAAAATATCGTGTTGGTGTCACTTTTGATTGAGATGGTAATGAAGAGTTCTTAGTGTAAATCACTTTAATCCACTTGCAAGTAAACAGTACAGACCTGAGCACAGTACTATGATATGTATAGCCAATTCCTACGACCTCCAGTTACAAACTAGGACCTTAAAGATTTGCATATCTAAACAGTGCATATATTATATATCCTTTTTGCCTATCTAAAAATCCAAAAAGCTAGTGACCTTGTTAAGTCTTTTTGCTGGTTCAGTCTTTTTCTATCAATTAGCACATAACTTAAACCCTGCCAGCAAATATAACCTGCATTAGAAGTGACGTAGTCTGTCTAAATGAACGAAAGAGCTTATTGTATGTACTAGTGGCATTTTTTCTATGTTTCAAATATCTGACAGGTTTCAAGTTTTGATTATCCTGCATAACTGCATGGATATGAACATGGTCTCTATTTCGTCACGGTTTTTAACTTTGTCAATTGTCATGCATTTTTCAGACAATTTCTGGTATTCTGGGTCCAAGATAGTAAGGACTGCATTTTGGGAAAAGAATTTCTAGGTTTTAAGAAATATTAATAATAGCCAAATATTGTGGAGGGTGATAACGGGTTATTTTGTGTTGAAATGTGATTTGACTGTTTTTATTGTTCGCCAAATGTAAAATGGTCATTTTCATCATTTTGTTAAACTTTCTCTGTTGTTTTTTATTCTAATTGAAATGTAAAATTATTTTGTAAAATTTTCTGTGAAATGTGATTTGTACAACCCCACCCCCCCCCCCCCCCCCCCTACTATCCTGGTTGATGAGACATAAAAGAAAGTAGAATTTTTCTTTCTTAAACTAAAATATAATTTATTACTATTTTATTTTCCCCCTCAAATCACAGAACTATGCTAGTAATCATCAGTATGCCGTATTCTATCAATTATATTGGTCTTTGTTTTTTAAAGTCTTGTATTATGTACATAACATATACCCATTTAAGTGCTATTTGGAAACCGTGCTGGCAGTGATGCTATTTATAGCAACACTAAAATATTTTGTTTCTATTTTTGGGACATTGTATGTCGTCAGCTCCATTAGTAAACTCATAATCTGAAATTTTGCGCATGATGTGAAAGATTTGTCCTGATAGTGCTGATTAACCAATTTTGGGCTGTTTTAATAGTCATTATGACTGATTTAATATACTTAATGAGCACTTGACAAAAATACACAAAAATTTTAGGTATGAATTTTTTCTACGAACATTTCCTAAAGCATGACCATATCAACAGTTAAAAAGTTTAGTAGGTGTATTCATGACTTATTATATGAATCCTTTTTTTCTAAAGAAATAAAACTAAAAGAGGTATTTTTATTTTTTTATGTTATTTTTCAGTTGTACTCTCTACTTTGACAAACTTTGAGTATTTTTTCTTTTTTTTTTAGCAATACTGACTCACATATTCCCTTTTAGCAATACTGACTCACATATTCCCTATCTGCATATTCTGTTAACTGTATAGTCTAAAAAGTCCCATAAAAATATTATACAATCATTATTTGATTCTAATGAGTTATTTTTTTATTTCTTTTCTGCAGGCTTATGAAGCCACTTACATTTTCAGATTGTGTTGGTGATGGTAAGTGGATGTTAAAGAAAACTAGATTCCAGAGCTTAAAATAACAGTCAGTCATCAGACAATGTCCAGCCAGAATTGGAACTTGTCTAGTCAAATCTTTGCCTTGCCAGTCATTTTGATCTGTAATGCTTTACCAAAAATGAGGTATGACTGATCTAAAACATTGGCAATTTGGATGGTTATCATGACTATCATCTGGCCAGCCATTATTTTAAGCCATTATTTTAAGCCTAGATTCTTCAACTATATCAAGGGATGGCCATGGGAGGGATTTAAACCATCCATGTTCACCCTTTTCAACATCCAAATATAAATATAATTAGAATTTTATGAGTGACCCAATTTAGGGTGAGATATAATCTTCCCCTCTTGCAAAAAGGACAGGTTAACTCCTGCTGTGACAGTATACAAATGATGAATGTATGTTGACACCATAGAGAAAAAGCATCTTTAACTTTTAATTACTGATCTTGGGGACCTTGAGCCTTTCAAATTACAGAAGGTTCAAGATCTAAAGGTTAAAACTCTATGTAGTCTTCATTTAAAAAAAGTTTTCCCACCTTATATTATTTTTATATGTTATCTTTACCGTGACGCAGTACATACTGGTTTTATACTACCTTGTCTTGCTATACACATCCTACACTGTGGAAAACTGGATGCTACTGACGTACTTGCTAAGACTGTAATAATCAATAATTTAGAAGTAGCTTCTTCATAGTGTGGCTCTTTATCCCCTATATCCTAGAAAAAAACAGGACAACCCAGAGAAAAATCCTCAAAGTGTCAGAGAGAACCAATAAGCAAATCTATTCACATACAGCACCAAGGTTAGGAATTGAACCTGGGCCGCATTAGCAAGACACATGCAGACCATACAATATTGTCATACTTTTCAATATTAAGTTTTATTGTGTCTGCTAATAGAACAACTTCTCTCATTCAGATAATTTATGGTAAACAATAGTTTCTGCTTTTAAAAGATGCTCTGGAATTTCTTTTGTTGTGTTCAGAGCAGACTCTTATTAACATGAATAAATAAATTTGCCATGATTGTATGTGGTCTGTTATCACATCTAAACTATTTCCTATTCTTTTTTGTAGCTTGAATATTAGCCACCTAGAGTGATAATGATAATTACTTGTTACCAGCTTTCATTGCTAACATGTCTATCTCATTATAGAATTACCACTAGGATGGGAAGAGGTGGATGACCCTCTACTTGGGAAATACTTCATCAACCACAATTTAGGTACAAAACAATTATCAGTACGACTTTAATCGAAGCCAGAAATTTGTACTTAGATTTATGTCATGTAATACTGATGTCAAGCAGCTTGGCTCCTTGCCAAGACACCTTTGGAACTCATGATAATGATATGGCAACTCTAGTACATGTATGATCAGGTGGTTTGTGTAAAGTCATGATTCACCAGATTTTAACAAACAGCAATGCAGAGGAGTACATTTTTATAGCATAACTAATTTCCTAATTCCAGCCCTACATCAATCATGAAACACCGCAAAGCTATTGTGTAGATCCATCCACCTTTTTTTGTCACTGACTTTTGATCTTTTGTCAGCCTTTTCTACAGTGCATTCTTTCAACACCTTAAGAGAAAAGAACATGTTTGAACTTGTCTGTTTGTGTGTTTTGTTCAATAAAAATTCCTCTTGACAGATGCTTTTAGATTTCTTTATTGCAATCAGATGTGGAAAGATCTTGAAAGCACATATTGCTTTGATGTTAACATTTTTACTCAGACTAAACATCCAGTATCTAGCTTAATGGCCTTCTTAATTCCTTACATTTTTGGCCTTCTGGGTTCACAAGCCTCCTAACTAGCAGTTAATTGCTTTAATGTTATTCATCCGAGTAGTTATTATCCTAATTATATTAAAATATTTTATATTTAGTTCACATTTTAAGCCATAGACACATGAGGTACTTGTATTCAGGTATAAGGTTATATACTCGTGTAAATTCTGGATGTTTAAACTGTGATTATTTATATTAGGAACACAGCAAACAGAGGATCCCAGGGTACTATGGAAGGATCAGCAGCATAATATGATCAAACAGTACCTGGAGTTGGCTCAAAATGACTTGACTGTAAGTAGAACTGTATTGAATATTTCTCTTGGAAAGCATTTCTATCCATGCCTTTGATGACAAGATATATCATTAGATTTATCACATAAGCCTGAAATCATGCTCTTTATTCCTCGCAATGAAACACCAGACAGATTTCAGACCTCAAAACGAACTTTTCCTTGCACAAATACCTAAAATTCTGCCACAGTTCTCCACTCAATCTAAAAGCAATTACAAATACAAGATGTGGTTGTAATCATGGAGGATTTCTTTCAAAACATTTATCTTTCCATTGGCACATTCCTTTCCTTTGATGATTGTCTTGTTGCTGATAGAGAGTGTTTTTAAAGGTATTATACACTTGACACTATGCTCTTTGAATCCACATTCCACACAAGGAATTCCAAAGAATTTGATTAGTTTTTCATATTATCTTCACACTCTGGTTTAGCTATTTACCCTGCTGTGCTCTTCTTTGAACCAGCATTGAGGTATATCTCTTCGGGATAACTGATACAGGTATTCCTATCACACTGACAGGGGGAAAAAGGTGGCATTTTTTTGGCTTTCATCATCTTCAAATATCACCAATATTCACATTATCTTCAGTATGCTTGAAATTTCCTGATAGCAAGTGAACTTGATGAACTCTATTGACATGCAGATACCTAAAACCTACAAGAAGTTTGTCTGGAGTTCTTGCAGAGGACCAAAAGTCAAACATTTTTTGATCTTGTATTCGTTGACTTTCAAAAGGTGTAAATATAAAGTAACAAATATCCATGGATTGATTAATGCAATCATCCAAGACACCCTGTAAAATAAATTTCAATTTCAAACATTTTGTAGGAATTATTGTGTCACATGTGTTAACTTTCGGCCATTTTTCATACTCTTTCAGGCAAAACAAAATGTCCTGTGTGTAAAGAAACAAAGATTGAATGTTGCAGAGGTTGAGGTGAGCCACCATTCCTGTTTAACTACCATTTATGAATTCCCAACCACCACCATCACTTAAGGACACCACTATTTGGTCAGCACTAGCTCCAACAAACCATACACTTAAGTACAGATATTATCAAAAATATGCCACACATTACCAATTGTGACAGTCAATAAATGTAATTTTAAATTCTCATGAAAATCCAAGAAAATGTTATCTCAAATTATTGATATACTTGCAGTTCTAATAACTATGGAATTTCAAAATGTGTTTATTTTAAATTAAACTGATCTAGTGTGTATTCTAGTGTCAACTGAGAGTTTGTCTGTTGTTGACATTCAGTTTTTTGCTCTGATGTTTATTTTATGAACTGTGGTATTTCACAGAAATATTTTAATATCTCATTGGTGTTGATGGAACAGAGCAATGTGGCTCTTCCTTGTCCACTTATTTTATTGTAACATTTATTTTATTTTGTCAAAATCTTCTCGAATCTCGTTACTGTGTATATGACATTTTAAATGTTTTTCTCTGTGCGTTTTTCCCCTCCCCAGGTCCAGTACTTGACTTCAGAGCTAGAAAATATGCAAAATAATACCACTAGTCATCAACAAAGTGATCAATGTCGATCAAAACACAACAAACAAAGCAGCGTTACTTCCACCTCATCATCATCAACCACCTCTTCCATTGCAAGTAAATTTGATCCAAGCCAACTAAAGCGAGAAATACTGCAAGCTAAAACAAGGGTATATATATATATTATTAGAGTGTTTTGCACTTTAGTGGGTTCAATTCCGTGCACATTATGGCTTCTTCTACAATGAACACTGAAATGGGTTCATTTTCAGACACTTGGGTTTCTTGCTTTGCACTTTAGTGGGTTTCGCGCGCGAGTGGTTATGGATCGTGCTGCATTTAAGTGGGTTCTTTTTAAGACCTTCGTGCGTTTTATTTTACACCTTACTGGGTGTTTATCTTACTTTGCACTTAGATGGGTTCTCCTGTCGTTCTCTTAGTTTGCGTTGCATTTTAGTAGGTTCCGCCCCTGACACTCATGTTTTTGCTTTTCACTTCAAAGGGTGTTCTCCCTCTGTATTTGACTTGCATTGCACTTTAGTGGTTTGTTGGTTCATTAACATGTGTCATTCATATCACTATAAATTCACCTTAATAACGTCGCGCATTGCTGACTTTTCTCTGCGTTTGAACCTAAAGTATTTTGCTTTTCTTAGGTCGAGAGGCTAAAGGGCGAAATGGAACAAGTTTGTGGGGAAGTTCATCAAAAAGAAGAAGGATTAAAAACCCTAGAACGAGTTGACCAAAAGCTCTCAACCAACGCACCACTGTCGGTCAGTGAACAAGATACCCAATGCGGTAACAAACTGACTATGACTAAGGAAAAAGGGAATTTGTTGAATACCAGAGTTGATACTAAACTTGTAAGTTTCTGGTAGCATTGTGGTTCCCATTTATCTCAAGTTAGGGTGACCTTACTTAGGAGAAAAAGTCCCCCCTCCCAAAAAAAGATGCAGTTGGGTCAATGATTAAATCAATAGTATCTTATTTTTAGACCGTAAATATTAATAATTCATAGCTTCAGAATCTTTATTGCCCTCTAATGGTGGTAAACTGTATTTTGAAGCCGCACTGGAAATAAGAAAAATGCGCAATCAAAGCAAAAGAATAAGTCTAAAGAATAAGCTTTTGTTCCTCTTGATTCAAGGGTTTCTCTTCGAATCCTTCGGTTTTCCCTCATCGCATAACACACTAAATTCCAATTCTACCTGTGAGCAGCCGTGCTCTCGGACATCGATCAGCCCAGGGTATCGATAAAATTAAAGCTTTAAGGTTTTGCTCTTGATATTTTAGGGTAAAGACGAAAATCACATTAAAAAGACTTCAAGCACAGGATCGCAAACAGATCTGACTACTGAGTCCCAACTAGACAAACGAGAGCTAAAGATGGAATACAAAGAATCAGTTAAAGAAGTACAAAGATTACACGGAGAATTAGATCGAGTGGAAGATCAGCTAAGAAATAGTCCTACTGATAATGGAACTAATAATGCCAATATTACAACACTGTTGTTGATTGAGGAGAAAGAGGCATTACTGAGTGAGATTAGAAGACTTGGTTCAATGGTGAAAAGTGAAGAAGAAAAGGTAGGGGAAAATTCTGAGAATGAAAATACACCATTTATTCTGTACAGGAATAAAAGCTTAATATCTTTTCGTGATACGCGGATTTTTGCTTTCATACGTCCAATATCATTGGTAGAAAGAAAAAGAATTAAAGGCTTTATCAAGCATGACTATTACGCATAATAATATTTGAATTTCATCTTTTCAGAGTAAACTCGAAAACGAAAAAGATAAACTAGCTGCAGATTTAGAATCAGCTAGAGAGTTGTCTCATCGTGTCATTGCTGACCGAATGCAACTGAAAGCTGAGAAAACTATCCTCGTTCAACAACTACAAGAACAGGCAAAGCTAACGAACCTTCTAGAAGTTCAGTTACGCAAGTAAGTTCGTTGCCTTTGACAATTTAAGTGCGAGTACAGTATTACTTAAAAATTCGATTGCACTTGAAGGGTTTCTTTTTTTCCCACAAAACTTCAAGGCGTGTTGGTATGCTAAGAATTCTGTCGGTTTTAGACCCGATTGGGTCCAGGAATGTAGCCTTGTTTTGTCTCGTACAACCTCACCATTCACTAAACATATTTTTCATAACTGTCAGTTAAACATTTTTGTGGTACCACGACAATTAAGCTTTTTATCAACTTGCACGACATCGATTCATAAGTATTTCAATTTATTTCCAGTTTGTCCAATAGTACGCTCTCTATATCATCATGCTCAAGTAAGGGTTCTTTATCGACTGGGAGCCGAGGTTCATTATCGTCGAGTCGAGGTTCTTTATCATCGTTAAGTTACCTGGAGACAGGGCTGTTGAACAACAGTGAGCAGCCAAACCTCCGTGAGTTACACCAAAAAGTAACAGACATGCTTCATGTGTTCCAATCTCCTGTACGAACCAGCGGGATACCTACTAGTTATGCATCCACTTCATCGCCCCATCGTCCAAACACATCAACCTGCTCACCCCAGATGTCGTTCTCGTCACGTGACTCGCTTTCTGTGTCGTCACTGTCCCCACCGATGTCGCCGTCCGCTTCTGAGCAATCACCTGTTGCGTCACCTGTGCGCATGTGCGTTTCTCAGGCAGAGACAACCGCTGGTCTTGAATGTACGGATACTGAACGAAGTAACGTTACTCAGGTTAGTGTGAGAGTTCCTTCACCTCCTCTACTGAGCTTGCGATAATTATTCTCTCAATCTTTCTTTGTCTAAAAAAGAAACGCTAAACCCTGATTGCTTTAAACCTTTTCAGGCTGAAGTCTTACCTGTACAGCAAAGAATTCGACTGCTGTGCGCCGACTCCAGGTCTAGTGAATCTATCAACAATCTGCCATACACACCCCTTTCACCCATCACAGAGGGCATCGCTTCATTCTCTTTGGAAGGCGGGGAAAACTACATTCCTGCCATCAGCACTAGACCAGTAACAGCAGCCGCTTCTAACGAGTCGGTAGCAGCAGACAGTGGCGTTTTCGAAGCCTCGCAAGAAAACCTCAAAGCCGCTCAAAGCAGCAGTGATCTGCGCCCTCGAAGCTGTACAGACAGTGAAGATGTGTGTCCGACAGCGCAAATCAATGTAGGACTTAATTACGAAACCTCACGTGAGTCGTTAGTGGTTAACATCGATAGAGGGAAAAATATGAAGGAGTTAAATGTGCCAGGATCGCATGCGGACTGTATGGCACTCTACGTCAAAGTCGCACTACTTCCTGGAGGAGAGGCTTGTACGATGGAAACAAAACTATGTAATGATGTAAATAACCCGACATTTGGGGAACAGTTCTGCATTCCTGTACCAGAGGTATATATGATGATACTTTGATTCAGAAATTAATACAAAATTTGAAGGCAATTCACTGTTGACCAGAGTTCACAACTTACGCAAAATTACTGGTGACTCCACCTTGGTATTAATCTGGGGAAAACATTTTCAAACTGATAAAAATCGTTTCAAACCCCCGTTTTTAACTTTTTTCAAAGTTCAAAAATAACAATAAACGTAATTTGAGGAGCAAAAGTCAAAATGACTTTAGTCACTGAACAATGGAAATTGCGATCTCATGAAAGCCTGTTGCCACAAGACCACAACTAATGTAGTTACTACTTTCTGCTTCAATGTATCTTTAACTCTGTTTCAGTCTAAATTATTTGGCAAGACACTTCAGCTCAATGTGTGGTCCATCACGAAGTTCAAAACAGAAGAGTTGCTTGTAAGTTAGCCCAACTCATTCACAGTAACCATCTTTTTTCCACAGTCGTAGTTGATTCTTTATTTACTCATTCATTATTGTCCTTTTATCGTAGGGTGGAGCTCAAATCAGCTTAGCGGATTTCAACGTTAAAACACCAACGTCGTTTCGATGGTGTAATTTACTAAGTCACTCAGTAAGTTTTATTTTTTCAATACCTATTGTTGTACTTTGTGCAATTCATGTTACAAATAGGGAATGTTTGTTAACCCAGTCATTCATTTGCATATCTGTACATTTTTGTAGTCTCCCTGTGGTTTTCCGCCATCCAAAGGAAACCCATAACCCTTTGCATTACTTGGATTTGAAGTAGGACACAGGCCTTTTTAAGTCTGCGTAGGAGGCTAAGATCTTACCGGAACAAAATAATCAAATTTGCATTAAACCTCAAAAGGATCAGTAGTTATAGTACTGACTAGCATTTCTACCAACACTTACTTACTCTTGCCGAAAGGTAGGAACGTCGTATATGATACATTATATTATTCCTACCAATAGATGTATTTGGTGATCCACATGTTTGTACCATACATGAATTACCATAGGATTAAAGCCTCGCAATCAAGTCTGATTTTTTTAAAGACATCGAGGCGGCGTGGCCTATAAAGGTTTTGCACCACCTCGTGACAGTAGCCATGTTAGATGGCAGGAACAATACAATCGTTTTACATGAGAAAGAATTCAATTCCCGAGAGCAGAGGGATTTTATTGTTCTTTCATCTAACCACAGACAGTCCAAGCTGTTTTATGGACGTCTACACGTGATGGTGCAAAACCTCTATTCCAAAAATAACTAATTAATTAATTAACTTTTTTCTATGATATTGCAGTATTTACAGCCAGCATCGGCCAAGTCGAGTCCAAAGAATCTGTTATCACCTGTGTCACCCCATCTCCCTCCTTACCCCGAGAGCATCTCGGACGTGCTTGGTATTCAGTACAAGCTTCGACCGAGTTCATGGGTGAGTTGTTTATTTGATTTGCTAAGGTGTTTGTATGTCTATATTTTATACCAAAGGCCAATAATGGTTCTTGAATGTATTCGATCAGTGCATCTTTTCATTAAGTTCTTGGTCTACCCTCCAAGCTTGACCTCGGTAAAATTACCAGCGTGCTTATTGCAGGAACCTTCACAAATTTATATATAAGACTACTATAAGCATATAACCAGCTTTATTTGATATAACCAGCAATCGTACTACAACAATGTACTTGATTTTTCCAGTGTTGTGGGGGATCGTCTTTGAGTCTAACGTCAGCAGGAGGTGAAATCAGCCCAGGACGTTGTGGAAGCCAAGAAATGCTTCAAGACCAAGGAGATAAGAGAATGGCATGCCGTAAAATACAGCGCGAGCCCTCACAAGAAGACAGTGTAGTAAGCGGAGATTCGCTGCAGGATACAGATAGTGACTTTGACAGATTTCCCTTGGGGAAGCCAGCTCTCAAATCGCAACGTCAAAGATCACCTTTGACCAGAAAATTCTCTGACCCGGATCCTATTGACCGAGTAAGCGTGGTTCTCATTGTCTTGATTATTTTCTTTCTTGACTTTCCAAGACTTGCGATTGAGAATCACTAAAGGCGCGGACACACGGTGCAACATTGCGCGCAATTAATATTTTAAGCAATGTTGCTGAATTTGGATCGTTTTCTACTTCAGAAGCATTGCCTGCAACAAATTGCGTGTGACATGGTTCGCAACGTCGATTGCCTGCAACATTGCGCGTAGTGTTGCACGGTGTGTCGGTAGCTTTAGAACACGTCGTTCCATTTTCTGACAAATTTACTGGGAAGAGGGGACATACAAAAGGTAGAAGGTATCGAGAGACAGACTAATATGCTAAGGATTTGTTTTGTTTTCTAGTACGCAGAAGACTCTCTGCACACAACTACAGTGCAAAGAGCGTTCGATATCAACCTAAATAGAAGTAATTCAGATTGCACAGCTCGAAAAACAGACAGAAGTCCTTTTGTCAGACTTTCAGTTGAGAGGAGTAGCATGAGGAGAAAAAAGGTATTATAAATAGATATATTCATTATTAGTAGATTACTATTCTTACCTCGCCACCTGTCTAGCCAGGCATTCGTGAACGACTCTCTTTTTATTAATTCAGCTTCATTATTTTAACCAGTTAACCTAATTTATTTTCGTCCATCTATTTCATTCAGTTTCTCTCTTTTATCCATCCATCCATCCTTCCGTCCGTCCATTCGATAAAAAGGTCGTATAGTTTTAACAGACTTCATCAACCATTTGTTTTCAGCGCCCAGTATCGTGGCAAGGTGTACAACAATATCAACAGTTGCAAATGTTGCAACCAACGGCTATGGACTTCTCGCGCATGACAGACCCAAACTATGATTTTGAATCGTTACAGTCTTTGCGTCAGGTTGGTTATTGCATCCTGTATTTCAGTATTCTGTATTTCTAATAATTGGATTCGCATATTCCTCAAATGATAAATATTCTTATATATATCCATCCCAGGCTCAAATAAATGACGATATTATGAGACTGAACCGATTAAAGAAGCGTATCGAAGAAGCACTTGCTTGTGGTTCAACCGAGATTCCAAAATCTATCGAAGAAAGTGAGGAATACCGGTCTTTACTTAGAGATGTAGAGGTGAATATATATGTTATATACTGTTTTATTGATGGTAGATTCTTTGAAACCCTACTCTTAGCTCGATATATATCATTGAGATAACCGGCTCACACTTGGTAGCTGTTAGTTTTTACAATTGTCTCTATAAACGTCAAGTCTTTCTCTAACCTCGATCCAATGAAAGGCCAATGAAAAATCCTGTTTCCGCTTTCCATTCACCGCTCAGTATCCACTCTTTATCCAAAAGAAATACTTGGTCGATTATCGCTATATTCTAATTAACAAATCGAAGTCAGTTTTCTATGTGTCTGCAGCGAGTGGTTTCACTGCAAAGTTTGGATCATTTTTGACGTCATTTCATGTTCGATTACAGTACAGACCCATAGAAAACTGACTTTGACTTGTTTTTTACCATAACAAAGTCGAAAAAATTGAACAAAAAGAAAAGTAAATAGTTTGAAAAAGCTGTTTCATCCGCTCACTCAGTGCGCGTGACGGATGTCTTCTGCTCTCTGATCCAACCCCTACTAATAAGCTATTGCGTAATAAGTAAATTACGAGCCTTAGATGAAACGACTGAAGAAGAGTGCCATACAAGCCTTTCACAACTTCAAGTCGCGTAAAAAATGAGCCAGCTCAACTAGAAACTGTGGACAGCTGTTTCGGCCTGTATTGGGCCTCGTCAGCACAGTGTATCTAGTGAGCTGGCAATCCCACGAAAAAGTAGTACTAGATAGATATGGCAGTGCGCCGTGTGGGATGGGCTCGGATATCAAGTAAGAACATGCGTAATAAAGTTCTTATTTGATATCCGAGCCCATCCCACACGGCGCACTGCCATATCTATCTAATAAGCTATTGTATTTATTAATAAATAAAAATAGTTATTAATGCTAGATCTTAATTTGATTCTTCACAGGCTCGAGCATTAATGCGAGGAGTCAGAAATGGACGGAGAAACAAACAAACAGACTTTAAACTTCTTCGTGAAAAGAAAGCCGCCCAGTCAGCGTCGGCGCCTAAAGGGCTTAAAGTACCTCAAGGATCTCCCGTAACGCGAGAACAACACTGGGTCTAATGAATATTTATGAGGGACATTATTATGCTTCATAGTGAAGCTCCTTGGTCCCAATATTGGACCATAATGAATTTTGATATGAATCTTTTCTACCGTTGAAATAAATATTTTTGTGTGTATGTATATACGGTATTTGCATAAACAATATTGCACATACGGTATTATCCATGCACGATACGATATTCGCGCATAAGCGCCGGGTACCCCTATATACGGTGTATTTACGCACACATACATATATGTTTCTTGGATATAAGAGATAATTTGTTTTTGTGTTTTTTAAACGAAGCGCTAAAAGCGAAGGAAAAACTCCAGATACTCGCAGTTTTTCTTGATTTCACGAGAGAAAGGAAAAAATATTTTTAAAGATAAATATGTACTTACAAATCTATTTTGGTTATTGTTATTTTCTTACTGTACATAATCTATCTTCCTAAAATATATATCTTTATCATTATCATCTCAAATAAATACATCAAGCGACTATAATACCTACATACCTATATACTATATATCTATATATATATATGTACTTTTCTTTTAGTTTCTGTCATTTCTCATTTCTCTGGATCCATTTTCTCTTATTCAACATTGATAAATAGACGTATTTCATTTTCATTTTGGGCAATTAATAGTCTCCCCCACAGCCGCTTTCAGTGTCGTCACGCAACGCTTTCTCTCCTGGGGAGAAAGCCTTGCGTGACGACACTGAAAGCGGCTGTGGGGGAGACTAGGCAATTAAGCGTTCGACTTCTGTTCTAAATATACAAACTCGTACGCGAGTTGTTGTTGTTGTTGCTTCAACTAAAAAGAGTATATTGAACTGAATAATGATTTATTTCGATTGCAGTAATCTTACAATCATAGCTAAGTAATCAGAGTCAAATTAAAAGCAAATCTTCTCGGTAATTTAAAGTATTGAAACAATTGAAATCATTCCAACTCTTATAAAATCAGAAAACGAAATGAAAAAGAAGAGGATTGTCCTGAAGCGTAGATCAATCTGCAAGATAAAAGAAAATTTTGTTTACCTCAAGTTCCTGGCTGCAATACCTTGAAAAATGCTTCACCTCGCATAAAATATCCTGAAGTGTAGAGAAGAACGATGCAGAGGAAGGGGGGAGGGGGGTTGTCTCGTAGAATTTGGGTTTTCATTTTGATATGTACTAGTTTTGTCAACGCAAGCAAGTCAAAGTGTTTGAGAAATCCTTCGTAGTTCCGTAAAGGTTATTCTCTTCGTACGACTTTTTTTGTACGGCTTATTAGGTCACGGCTCATTCCGAGGTTCGAAAAAGACTGGCTCGAGCTGGCAGAGCATTGTGCCTTATGCATTACCAAGTCTTTCAGGCTAAAACTGATTCTGAGCAATCGTTATGATTGAGTTCTCTTTGATTTGGCGGCAAGTTTAGTTAAAATAAGGCGCGCGGACGCTATCCACTGATATCATACCGTGAATCGCTATGTCATCTATCAGGACCTACCTTAGCAATTACAATTTTCCTTTCCTGGCCGCTATGAATAAATCTTTTTCCAGTGTTTCGCCTAGAGTTTAAATAATATTAAGCAAATATCAGTTGACTATATGTAAAACTCGTTTTTGGCTTTTGTCCCAAGAGGACAACGCTAAGTACAGGATTACCAGTGTCGTTGAAAGTTAACAAGAAACGATTTTAAGTACCTTTTTTGGGGACCAATTTTGGGCCAACTGGACGTTTTGGTTCTCTTGGTTTAGGTTTTGGACGGGCTTTTGCAAAGTAAACGAATAATGACTTTATTAAAGAAAATATTGTAGTGATTTAAATGCACCACTCCAAACTAGGCACCTTCGGAGTATCGATTGGGATATCGATGGAAGCTCACCATCTATACACACTATTCTCCTTCATTCCGAGATTGGGGGGAAACTGGGTCGAATGGCATTGCCGTTTCATTTTAGGGCTTATTTAGGGGACATATTTCCAAGATGGCTGCTGAATGCGTACATTTGCTGCATTGCCAACTCGACTCACTTTTTTCCTTCAACCTCGGAGTGGCTAATACTTACAAAACAGGAATCGCTTGACTGCTTCGTCTGTGTGGAAAAGAAAAAAGAAAAGGAATAAATAGGGTGTAATTTTGTGCAGTCAGTATAGAGCTGCAGATGAAGTAGTAATGTTTTATCGATTCGTTGATTTATTCATGCAGGGAAGCTTTTTAGTTACCATTCATTGGGTCTTGTTCTTGTGTTAATGGCTCGCCATCTTGCTGTTCGCTCTCATCTTTCATTGGAAACACAGTATAAGTGTTAATGCAAGTAATACAAGTTTCTTTGAGCGAAAATTCATTCATTATTAACATTAATGCCGTGTCATCTTCATCAGATTATCATTGCTGTATTGTACTTTTTTATTATTTAACATACAAGTATATATAAATGATAACATATATATTAATAACATATTTTCATTTCATTTCAGTTTACCATTCATTTGGTCTTGTTGTTCTTGTGTCAAAGGCTCGCCATTTTGCTGTTCGTTCTCATCTTTGAATACAAAAAAGAGTTAATGCAGCTTAAATGAGCGTTCGTTAGTTTCTTTACTTGTTTGCTACTTTTTTAACATTTCGTTCAGTTAAAGCAACCGACTTGTTGATCATCGAAAGTTCAGGCAGCCCAGTGCCTTTAAGAATCAGATTTCAGTTTGTTTTTCAAAATTTTGTGCAGTCAGTATAAAGCTGCAGATGAAGTAGTAATGTTTTAGTGATTCGTTGATTTATTCATGCCGGAAAGCTTTTTATTAGTTACCATTCATTGGGTCTTGTTCTTGTGTTAATGGCTCGCCATCTTGCTGTTCGCTCTCATCTTTCAATACAAAACATGAATGTTAATGCACTGCAACTTAGTCGAGTTTCGTCAGTTATCAACTCATGTAATGAATACCTAATTTGTTGCCCAATTATACAAGAAAACAATTTTAAATAGTGATAGATAGCTTCGAAGTTAGTACACAACTCATTATATCAAAAAGACTGCGTTGTTCGTTAAGACTATTTAATTACCATTCACAGAATCTTGTTCTTCTGCCGTCAAAGGCTCACCATTTTGTTTTTCGACCTCGTCTTTCGCTAAGAATGTAATATTCAGTGTTAAACCAGTTTGAAGATTTGTTTTACGAGGAGAGGGAGTCATGGAATTGTGTTGATTGTGACGTCATTCCTTATCATTTCTCTCCCAATGACGTCAATGGACATAGTGACTCAGTATAGTATAGAGGCTTGGCACCATCACGTGATGGCAGCCATGACAGGATGCACAACAATAGAGACTTTCTCCCCTAATAAACTGAATTATTTCAGTTGCGTAAAATAATCAGATTAGACCAGATTCAATAGTTCCTGCCACCTGTCATGGCTGCCATCACGTGATGGTGCAACTGAGCCTCTATAAGGGAAAGAAAAGCCGGGGAGCAACTAAGTAGCAACTAATAAAGAGCCATTCTATTTATAGGTTTATTTACCTGCATAAACAGTAGTGATAACCAATGCAGCAAGAACAAGAAACAGAGGTAAACGCATCTTGAAGTGTAGCCTGATAAAACACAGAAAACAATAAGGTATAACCTATGATGCTATTAACCGTATTGATATACCTCTGGTTTGAAATAAGTCAATAGATGGTATACAATCAACGGCATACTATACCTTTAGCCTTTCTTATGCACGCCAAAAAAACTTGTGAAAAGTTAACCTATTTTCAGTAGCTGGTTCTTTTAGATGAGTGCCTTCGATTGATTGCTACCTTACCTTTAGCCTTTCTTATGCACACCAAAAAAACTTGTGAAAAGTTAACCTATTTTCAGTAGCTGGTTCTTTTAGATGAGTGCCTTCGATTGATTGCTACCTTATCTTTTGTATCGATCGTCTCAGCTAATTAAATTAATAAATTGGTTTACTTGTTTATAATTACGGTAATCCTAATAAAAATATTCTCCAAAATCCCTATGATAACTCTAATTATGACTATGCTTATAAGAGGCTGAAAGAGATTCACAACTTTCCCATCCTAGACCCCGTTGTCTTGGAGCCATCTCTAAGATTTTGTTTAAAATTTTGTCCTTATTTTTATTGTTAACTTTTCAATTGTTTTAGATTCGCATTAACAAAAAATGATAAATTATCATCGTGTCAGTATTACAGGTTACCAAGAGAGAGTCCTTCACTTCATGTCCTCTTGTGTTACTTACTCCTCATTACTGCTTTACTTATTTTCTTCGCTTTCAAGAAGGAAATAAACTGAACTAAAGCCAAAAATAATGTTGAAGTATTATGTAAGATGAACGAAAAAACTTAGTTCAAGATCATAAATTTGAATCTCGCACTGAAAAAGTTTAGAATATAGACTTGTATATTTTTTCTCAAAAAGAAAAAAAACTTTTAAGATTTTAAGCAACATTTTCAGATTAACAAAAAAAAAATATTTTTTTTCTTTACTGAATATTGCATTGAAAATCCTTAAATAAGTTATTATTGTTAGAGTGTTCATAATACACTCAACAAAATTACTCGATTCTGATTGGACAAGAGGAGTACACTCAAATCCCAAATCGTACTCTGTAGAGTCCAAATTAAGTTGCTCATTTTTTTTGAATTATGCCAACAAAAAATCGCACGATCTTCTCGTAAAAGGCGAGTCCAATTTGAGAACCTTCCAAATCATACTCGAGATCGTGCGATTACCTATACTAATATCGGACTCATCGCTAAGCAGCTCCTCAAAATGCGATGGAAATTGCAAAAATGAGCGAAACATTCTGAAAATAATATTAAAACGCAAGCTAGTTGCTTTACCTTTTAGTCGTTTTTGCCCTGAGTTGAAGAGAGTCGATGTGGCTGTGAATCTGTGACTAGCTTTGTGTCTTATGCCTAGCCTTTGCTTGGTTTAGTTGTGTTTGACTTCGCTTTTTTAATATCCCTTGGTTATTTAGTGTTTTAATTAGTAAGGACAGATTGGAAAATTAAGTTTTACCAAAGGGTTGATAATTAAGTTCGTATGCTCGGAATGCAAACAATCACAACGATTCGATATTTTGAGCGAAATGATATTTGTTAAATTAAAAAAAATTAATTTAAAATAATTATTAATATCCAAAGTGAGGATGGATTTTAAAAAAAAACGTTCAGTTTTTATAGCACTTTTGGAACGAAAATGATCAAAAAGATGAATAACATTTAGTATTGAGTGATGCTCCAATCTTAATCAAAATTGAGGGGTGAATAATCTCTTTTTGTTGATACAGATTTTGAAGAATCAATAGATAAAATTGATTGTTTATTCACAGGTACAGATATCATTAAAAATTATATTCATGATTACTCAGCTAAATTGGTTAGAAACTGAGGAAGAAAAAATATGAAGCGCAGCTAAATGAACAGGCAAACTTGACTGAAGAAAAGGCCTAGCATTTTACTACGAAACTAGAATATTGCACTTTTTATAGCTCATGCAGCCTAAAAAAATAAGACTTTAAACACCGATGACTGTTTTGTGTGTGCAATGTTTCTAGGAGACAAAAGAAGCGGGAAGGTATGAACTTAAGGACATCTGCAAGCAGGCCACTTCGCGGGAAGAGCAGCTTGAGGAGTCATGCTGTCAAACCAATTCCCATGAAATTTAGTCTAAGTGTGTTTCGTGATGCTCTATCGACATTAGAAACCAAGAAAATATTATTTTATTTAAGGATGAGAAAAGGAAAGATTATGCCACAGGTTTGATACAGGTGTGTAAACAAACCTTTACACTTTTTCTAATGAAGCGATTAGGAAACACACAAACGCACAAGTCCTTTCAGAGAAAGAAAAACAACAAAGAAAATTATTTTGAATGCCCCTAATCTGCATCTTGGCGGTCTTGATGGTCAAGAAAAAAAGATGAAAAATTATAAATCATAAAGACATTATAACCAGAAATAGATTACAATAATTTCATATTAAATATATATCTACAATTGATTGAGTAGTTGCCATATAATATCATTCCTAAACCATTCTTTTCAGTCCTTATGCACCTATGATATGTTTTTTTTAGCATGCAGTGACTCTTCTACTGTTTGTTCTATTTTGGCTGTGTTCAACGGGTTTTATCGGATGTAAACCTTATGGAAAACTGAACAGTTTATATAATAAGGTGCGCGCAAGTGCCAGCTTCTTATGGTATCCTATTTCCTTGGACAATAGAACTAACTCGTCTTGGTACAATGTTTACCCTTCACACCATGTGTCATTCCCTTGAGAATAATATTCTTTGTTTGAGTGGTATCCATATCCATGTGTCTTCTCATGTGCAACCGTTAAACAAAGAAATGATACTCTAGAGAATGACATATGGACTGAAATGGGAAAACATCACACCAAGACGAATTAAGTATATTTCAGTCTCAAAATGTCTTGTCAATTCACATCACGTATTCTGAAATTCCAATGTTTGCTTTTAGTGACAGAAAAAAAGAGTGGCGGTCGTTAAGGTTATTGTGTTATGCACTTGCTGCTCAACCCAGTGGTCTCGGGTTTGATTCCCATGTGGAACTCTTTAAGGCATTTTTTTCATAAAGCCTATGCCTTCTGTCCTTATTCCATTTTTATCATACCCGCACGCGCCTCTCACCTGGCGCCTCTCACCTCTGGGGTCTCGGGTTTGATTCCTGGACTGGTTATCACATGCGAGTAGAGTTTGTTTCGTCTCTCCCTTTATTCCAGGATTTTCTCCGGTTTTTCCTGTTTTCTCCTCCTTCAAACCTATATGACAAGCTAAATTCCAACTCGATATGTGAATTAGCCGTGCCCTGAATCGATCAGCCCAGAGGTTATTTCAGGGTTCAATCTGTGAGTTAGCCGTGCTCTGACCAGATCAGCCCAGATGTTTGTTTCCGGGTTCGAAAAATCTTTAAAATGTTTGTCAGCCCTTATTGTTAATTACCAATTTATTTTTCTACTAAATAAAAATTAAAACAAACGCACGTATTCAAGGATGTTTCCCGGTTATCTTACTAGACCCTCATTATTCATAAAGTCCAAGTTAATTTAATAAATTTAGAATAATCACCCCACACAAGATCGTAATGACAGTAAGTTAAAAAGTAATGGTTTTTTAATACACTTCACATCATAAATGATTATCTATGTGTCTTGCCTGCCGACCACATCATGAACTCGAATTCAAGGCGGTTTAGTATATTATACCTTGAATAAAAACGCGCACCTGTTATTGTTATTAAAAGATAACAACTTCACTCAGAAGTCTTTTAGCACTTATTTTGATAGATTGCTTTGAATGTTGACTAAGGGTGAACAACAAGGGCGAATCCAGGGGAGGGGTGCAGGGGGTGCGCACCCCTCCCTGGTTTCACTTGGTGCTCCTACTTCGAAGATAACCATTTTTTTCTTTTTTGCCTTTGATTCTAAGGGGTGAACCCCTCCCTGGGTTAACATTGTGCGCAGCACCCCTCCCTGAACAAAATCCTGGATCCGCCCCTGAACAATATGTTGGCATTAAAGAACTAGTGCCAATTCGTTTTCCTTTCACGATTAGGTGCATGGCAAAATTACATAGATAAATAGAATGAAAGTTACTGAAGACTAGAACAAAATCGGTATAGATATAAGAAAAACAGTTTCGAAAATTAATGAGGACGGTTGGAAAAGAAATAAGAGAAAAGAGGAAAGAAGAAAACGAGAAAAGAAATAGAAGGAAAGAAATACCAGCTAGGGAACTGGAGATCAGAGAAAGTTAACACTGTTTTGGTTTTGCTGATTTTCATGTTGTTGTTACAATCATAACTCCCCCGTCGTAAGGGGATCTTCCGTGAGGATCGCTAACTCGCTATATTTTACCACTACCTTCTATATAGGTTACTTGCATGTGACGTCAAAGCAGCTCGATCTGGGGGACAATTCCAATCTCCTGAGAATTGGAACCTATTGTTTTGTCCCCCAGATTGAGCTGCATTCCAAAGTGCTGCAAGGGATCTATTTACAAGTTACACACGACGCTCAACTTACATGTGGTTTTCTTACTCGACGGAGGAAAACCGGAGAATCCGGAGGCTGAAAACCCTCGGGAGAACAACACATTAAAAAAAACTCAACTCATATATGTGGCTCAGCTGTGAATGAAAACCGCAACCCCAGTCGTGAACTGCACAGCGGCGAGGCGACACGTAGTACCGTAGCAGCGCCGCATGACACCATGCATGGCAGAATCATTGTTCTTTTACAAGCCAAAAATTTATGACTGACACTAATTCAAGAATGCAAATATACATATGATAGATTTGAAGGTTTTTAAAGATAGTAATCTTAAATATATCAGTACTGCGCATGTTCTGTAGAAAGATGCTCATGCGAAGATAACAAAACTAACTAGCAATAAATAGAAAAATCCCCAAAGACAATTACAAACTTGACGCTTATTGACGAAGTGTCTTGCATATCTTCTCTTTTAAGGACCTATGGACTATCTTTATGAAAGCGGTATTTTGATAGTAGAAATGGTTCATCTCTAGCTTCTGGAATGAGATCATTCTCATCAAGATCAACACTAAACCTCGAGCAATCATGATGAGAAGATTAATATAATCTAATATACGAAGTAATGAATTTAGTATTATATACTACGGCACAACAGAAAAATAAGAGTGGAATTTAAATTGTTTTTTTTTTCAGGGCGCCATACTTCAGCTATAGGTAATATGTCTTTATCATATGGCTTTTCCATATTATTCGACTGTAGAACAGAAAATCAATTAGTTTGAACATTTTCCCCCAGCAATAGATGTCAAGCTTAATAAATTGAGTATTTTTTAGAGAGAATCAGCAATCAAGAGTAACAAGTACCACCCTCTAATATTTCAAAGCGCAATAATTAGCTAACCTAATTGGTGTCTTTTAAATTATCAATTAAGTTCTCAGAGTAGCCTTGGTTTCATGACTTGTAAAACATAACAAAATTATCTTTTTTTCCCCTTACCTCAATTATATCGACTTTATTGCCTTCATAGTTCAAAACCAATTCTCTTAACAGCTCAGAATGTTCTGCAAGAAAAGTTAGGGAGTTCATTTGTTGAACAGTTGATATCTCCCATAAAGGCAAGAACCCTGTTGATTTAACTTGCGTTGATATTATGACTTTAAACCACATCTCTTGGTTAAGAACCTGATATCAGTTTAGTTAATTCAGATCCTCCAAAACAAGAGTATGACGCCGATGTCATTAAATATGAATTTGACTATTCCAGCTGTTGGGCCGAGTGTATAAATTCTTTTCCATTAGGAGCATATTGGTACAGAAAACCTGAAACAGTTTGAAGAAACTTGRTCCTTATCTCTGTGTGTATTAGTCGCAACGAAGTTCTYTTAAAAATACTTCTCAAAAAATACTTCTTTCAATAATATAACATGATTCGTGCAAGAATACTGGTGTGTATAGTATTGATATTTCTTGTGGCATTTCCTGATTTGAGTTGTTCCTTGGCGACTTCGCTTCAAACTGGCCTAAGACATGGACGAAGTTATGGCAAGCGCCGTTTCACACTGAACAACAGGGTGAGTTTCTTAAAACATGCTATCTAGTACATTCTTCTTTGAAACTATTACATAAGTATCAGAGGTTAAGAATGCGTTGCAAAAAGGCAGGATAGGAACTGTTCAAAGCTGGTTGTGCTGGTCAAATGTTAGGACATCGGGGTGCCATCCAGAGTCAATATCAGAGAGTTTTCCCGCCTTAAAGTGTCTACGTTGTAGCCTTGTTTGTCGTGCCCTCCACGAAATTAGTCACCCTAAATTCACTAAATCTAATAAATCCGGGTAATTTTTTCTGTTCCTAACATTTGAAATCCTTCTCTTCTTGGAGTCATTAAAATACTATCATTGTCGAACGATATAGTTTTATACTCTATTCAGTACTTTGGTAGGATGTTTGGTGTAACATTTCTTCAAACTTCAGTGCTATGAAAGAAAATAAAAAAAGAACGTGTTCCAGGAAGCTAATTGTAAAATCGTGCGTGATGTTTTCCACCAAGAGCTACTTCTTTGAAGTTTCAAAAAGAAAAAAAGAGACTATGGTAGGACATGAAAGGAAGCTTATGCAGTATAATATTGGCTGTCGTCCGAGGAAAATAGTCACGGCATTCTCGAATTTGTTCTTGATACATGCGCCACATTTTCCTATTAAACAAAACCCTTTAAGATTTCATCGTACCCTGAAGAAACCTTCTGTGAAATAAATGTCAAACTCAGTGCTTTTCGCAACAGCGTCCGTATGTTTTGCAGTGATGCTACTGAAAAGAATAAGATTCAAGAGAAAGACATGAGGTCTGAAAAATAATTTCGCTCAAAGTCAATAATCCGCCCTGAATCGTATATTCTGTAACAAGAGACATGCATAACATATTACTTTTCCTTCTATATATCTCCAGAAAACACTAACAAACTACCGCCAGGCCTCAGTTTGTGAAGAAGCAAAAAAGATCGGCTGCATCTGTGGCGACAACAGCCAAGGAAAACGTGAAAATAAGTACATGTAACGGATCAGACCTACGAACAAAAGTCAGAAAAGTCCAGCTTAAAAAAAAAAGATATCAAAATCGCTAACGTTATTAAATATACATTAATCACAATGACTAGCAATAGGTAGTTACATGATATAAAGAATTACACTTGAATGGAAGAGCCAAGATATTTACAGGTCATCGAAGCAAGAATGATGAATGGAATTATTTTTGCTGAACATTTTAACATAAGATATGAAAAATAGATGTTTTGTACAACATATTTGTGAGTTCTAAGCTAGAAAAAAGCAATGAATTAAATGGATAAGTAAAAGATACTTTGGGGTTGCTGGTTTTGCGTAATGTCAATATAAATCATGTGTGGGGAGTGTCGGCACTACTCAGACAACACTTGGAACGTTAATGTATCATCGGACTGGGTCACAAGTATTTTAAATCATTGAATCATACCATCGTTTTCTTAAAAGAAAAAAGAAAAGAGAAAAAAGAAAAAGAAAAGGGAATAACTGATTGAATGAAAAGAGTGGAAGGAGGGAAGAAAGAAATAAAGAAGAGAACGAGCCAAGACGTTAGCAGCTGCATGGATTTTGAGGAGGGAACCGGAAAGCCGGAGAACCCGGTGAATAACCCTTGAAGCACAGAAGAGAACAAACAAACAAACAACTCTGCTCACATACTAGCGCACTTACGCAACACTCACGCCTCCCACAGTAATAATAAAATAAATGAAAGAGAATGAAGAAAATAAATTAAAGATAAAGGATAATAAAATAAAATAAACGAAGAAATTAAGCACAG